TTGTGAATATGATATATTAGATAAATAATTTCTAAGTAGCAGCCAGATGAATGTTATGGATGTTGTTTCTAAGTTCAGGTGTTTCATAGTCTTATGGCCTGTGGGATGAAGCTGTCCCTGAGTCTGGTGGTTTTAGTCCGGATGCTGCGGTACCGCCTGCCAGACGGCAGCAGACAGAACAGTTTGTGGCTGGGGTGATGGGGGTCTTTTATAATCCTGAGGGCTTTCTTTAAGGTTAACGTGGTGTTTTTACTCCACTACATTTATTTTAGTTACTTTACAGATTTGGATTAATGATGTGAAATATAAACAACCCTTAAATCAGACTTTAGTTACACCTGAGTAAAATTCAGGGAAGGTGATTGTCAAGTGCCAACAATCAGGAGAGATATTTGATAGTTGGTGCTTGAGAAGACTAAACATTTATCTGCAGATCCGTATAAAGCATATTCATTACTCGTTATTCTCTAATCGTTCATTAAAGACTGCATATAATTGATATTTTGCACATCCCTTTCAAGATTTCAAGATTTTCAAAGGTTTATTGACATATCATATACACAACTACGGTGTAGTTATGCAATGAATGAAAAACTTGGGTCGCAGGTTCCTCAACAGTGCATTACAAGACATCTATCAATATGTGTGTACCTCCACCATTAAACTGTCATATTCTGCACATTTCTTATACTATCTACATAAGAGTATAATTAATGTGTATAATATCAGTTAAAATAAATGCTTCAACATAGTTAACATTGCAGGAAAGTTGATTGTCAAGTTCCAAAACAAACCATGCAATATATTAGACATTAAGCACTTTGTCAGGCTTAATATGTATCTGTAGATAGATACCCCCAAAGCTTTTTTCTTATTTAAAAGAAGACCTTAGCCTAAAGTATTCTTTAATGTTTAAATAAAGCCTTATTAGTTTGTCTGTTTTGCACATCCTCCTATCAGGCACTAAACTGTTTTGTTGTAGATATTATTTACAGTATCTTCTTGATATTTTCTATTCTATATTTATATCATTGACCTTCTACTTTCCCACTATTTTGTATGTACTCTTAATATTTAAATGTTTTCATCAAATATAACACATTCAAAAGTGCTTTACAAAAATGAAAGACATTAAGAAAAATGCATTTTAAACAGTCATTAAAAAGCAACATAATCTTCCTGCATTGCAATTACTCCAAACGTGTAATAACGTGCTTTAACCAGTGCGGGTTAAAAAACTGTCAAGTTTAAAGTGTTAACAAAATAAAATATATTGCTGTTTCTGGTTTAGTTTACGACGGATATATGTTGTTATTGTTTTGATATTTGTAACAAAAGCGATGGAAAAAACCCCACAGTAACACAGAAAGATGGTCTTAACATGACCCAGCGGTCTAGTAGTTAATAAAAAACAATAATATCAAAACAGATTATTACTACTAACTTTATTGTGAAATTAAAACAGAACGGTAAAATAATAGTTTCCGGTCTATTCTGATGCCCGATCTCTGTAGATAAATAAAGAACTACGATAGATGTGTAATATTTAATGCAGCCAAACCATTTATTACAATGCATTCATGTGATGACTTTCAAAGAGTAAAGCAAGCACCGCTGAATAAAGTATGATTTGATCTTTTACGAAACGTTTTTTTTCATATGGAATGCAGTTGGAGGTCAACCAATCACAGAGCTTGAGGACTGATCACGGGGTTTGTCAAACAGAGCACATGGTGTAGTCCCAAACGATAGCTGAGGATTCTGGGTAGTGTAGTGTCTTCTGCCATCCAAAAACTCCGAACAAATATTCGTTTCTCCGAATCGAAGGGGAAAATACAAAAGCATTGTACACAATTTAAACCAATCAATGTTGTGTAATTAACAAGGATAATCTGGTGTTTTTGAGTTGATGAGTAGTGCAGATATCACTGTAAAATCAATCGACAGTAAGGAGAATACTTACTTCCGGGTGTAAAATTCTCCGTTATCCAATGGGAATGGATGCTCGTAATACAATAAAGGGGACATGATCATTATCTTTTAAATAACGTTAACTAAAGGGAACAATCTATTGGACACAGCTGAAGCTCTGGCCTTCCTTAAAAACTAACTAATTTAATAAAAATCACAGTTGTATTACACACAATGCACTGTTTTTTGAGAACAAAAATGTGTGACTAATGCACCATAATACATTCTGACGACAAATACAAATTATTATGAATACAAATAAAATAAAAGAAGCCTCCTGTGAGTTACTACAAGCTATAAAGTAGATTTAAAAAACGTTTTATAGAATAAAAGCTCACTGCGGGACGTTGTAGAAATGCGTGTGTGCACCACGACAAAAGAGCCTCATTCACTTTACATTGGGGTTTTTTGCGTGGTGCCGACACGTAAATGTAGCAGAATGCGTGACTCCACCACGCAATGCGGTGTTAAGGTTGCGTGGTGGAGTCACGCATTCTGGTGAGATCAGGTTGTGCAGCTTCTAACGTGATCAAATCTGACATTTGCGACTCTGGAAAAGTGCAACACAAATCTTTGTATCCTCTCTAAGCATAAGGGACTAACACCTAAATCTACACTGGTGCAAAACATAACCAAGTGATTGATGCATTTCTTAACATGATGCATTTATTTCCGAACAGTCGTCTCATTGTGTGCAGAGCCTCTCATCATGCCTGCCTGCTGTCACTGAAACTTGGCATCACACCTGGTACAACGTGTTCTCCAGTCCTTTTAAAAACACATATTATATCACACTCGCTATGATTCACCCTTTCCTTCAGCACCAGTTAGAGTTAATAAAAACAAACCCTGTTCATGGAAAGGCCTGAGTCAGCCATATTGATTTGGCGCGATTAACTTGAGTGGAGTTTGTTTTGAAGTCTGTTAAGTGTTGGCTGAATACAACCATGATGGATGCCTTTTCACAACACTGCTGCTTTCTGTAAATGTCACATGAATTACGTTTTATTGGACTCACAGCAGCAAAACCACTTCCCTCAAAATGACGCATGCATCTAAATAACATACTATAAAAAGAAAAACAGCCACAAAATAATTCCACTGCAACAACACTTAATCTCAAGGTTGCTCCTTGTGATGTACATTATTCTGCCAGTTAGATGTGCTAGAAAAAAACCCTTGCCTCTTCCTGCGTTTAGATGGAAATTAAGCTATATTTAATGTTAATGTTTTGGGTCGTACTTATGGAAATTCTTCCTCTTGGTGGCAGCATATCATTAAATGAATGAATGAAAAATAACTCTTGTGCACATACAAAGTGGAGACTGAGTTCTTCCTCTTTACTGCGCTTCAAAGTAGAGGTGCCATTATGGAAAATAAAACTGCTCCAAGAAGTAGCAATAAGAGTCATAATGATGGGGGAAATGTACAGGTGTATGCACATTATATATGCGGTCAATATCCTTTATTAACCAGGTAAAAGACTCATTGAGATTCAAATCTAGTATCTTCAAGAGGGCAGAATCAACATTGTTCCAACTAAAAAATACAACTCTTGCACCAGTCCAGATAATAAGCAATACAAAAAGTTATTATGCATAAAACAGGTATCGTTTTAAAACAATTAAAGTGGACCTATCATGCTATATTTGAAACATATATTGTAGGGCCATACCTATATTAAACATGTCTGTGAATTATTTTTTTCAAAATACCAAACAGATCATGCATTTTAGCCATGCCTCATTTCGCTCTATTTGCTCTTTTCCAGCGCTGTTTTTGCAAGGGCTGATTCTGCTTTAGTGTTAGACTACAGCTCCACTTACAGGCCTGGCATATGTACTACAGCGTCTCCAGCGCTTTCCAGCGGTCTCTCATTCCCCTGAGGTGGAGAGTTGCCCATATAGGCGGAGCACCCCTTTTCTGACGTCAGAACAATTCAAATAATAATCAGCTCTGTTGCAGCCCCGTTTTTAGAGATGTGGGTATGGAGGAAAAGAGAGAGGGTTGTGTTTTCTGACACTTGGTGAGTTCCCTGACACACCGGGGACACATATTCATGTATAAAAGACGTACAAAAGTGCATTTTGCATGATAGGTCCCCTTTAAGTCATTTTTTTGCGTTGAGTTTGATGGGACATTTCGCAGAGAATGCACACGCTGCTATTAGTTTGGGGAATGTGTATATACAAGTTTTCTTAAAATAAGGCTTTACTATTTGCCAACAAAGGTCTTAACGGTGTTAATACTCGGCTAACAAATGGCTCCAAAAAGTGTAACTGGGTAACTTTCTAAGTGATGTCGATAACCCGGGCCAATTTTGGTTGCCACAGACCAGCTTTAGGCCACTTCAGTCATCCTAAATCTGACCAGTGCACTATGTCAGTCTTTTATCACTAGTCAGCCATAAGTCAAGTCAGGAATTACCAACTGAACTTCATTAAAGAGGCCACAACAGTCTGTGTTTATTTACATCCAAAACCTATGCCCTCTTTATTTAGAGCTGAGGCCTAAAACAGAGGAACTAATGGTGGAGCAGTTGGAGTAAAGAGAGCACAAACCAACACCTGAAATAAAAGCATCACTCTTAAATATGCCACCACAAACCATCAAAAGAGTGGGTTCCTCAGCACAAGACCACGCCTTTTTAAGTAGAAAACTAGGGGGACAACATTTTTTTTTTAAAAAGGAGGCAGCATAGACCTTATCTGTTTGAGCTCCAACCAGCTGTGGGTTGTGCAGCGATGGTAGATTCTACATCCTGCTCGTAAAATAGGCTGTCCAGTTACACACACACACACACACACACACACACACACACACACACACACACACACACACACACACACACACACACACACACACACACACACACACACACACACACACACACACACACACACACACACACACACACACACACACACACACACACACACACACACACACACACACACACACACACACACACACACACACACACACACACACACACACACACACACACACACACTCTCTCATGGATGGCTCTTCCTCTCCCCTGTAGGGTATTTAAGCAGAAGCAGAAGTTTCCCAACACGGAGCAGCAGCAGCGGATCCACTCCATCCAACAGCAGCTTGTCTCTCCAACTTCATCTGAGGTGCGTCCACTCTCCATTTGAACTTACTTTATATTTACAAAAGTTGCTGTAATGCTACATTAACCGCAACATTCCTCAACAGCATGGTATCTGTTTTTGTTTATACCTTCCAGATGTGAGTTGTTGTGTAATCGTTCAAACATGCTCTAACAATGCCCTTTGTGCATCACTACGATTTAATATTAATCAATGCACTTTTCTGTTAACTTAAGTTTGATTTAATGCCTGGTTTACATTCAAATAAGTAGGAGTAACTGTAACAGTGTTATTACCTGGATTGTATAAATACTGTAGAAGTAGCAGAAACAATAGGACAAAAAGCTTTGAATCCTACTTTGTTTCAAGGTTTTCTAGATTTTTGAGGTGCATGTTGTTTTGTCTCTAGCATGTATAAAATGCATGCAACACTTTGACCATTTCACTTTACTTTTTGCCGGGTAAAGTATGGTCTTTGCAGAGAGTTTTATGGCAAGTAAAAAACCTCCCTTGAGCATTAAATGTCTCAGTCCTGCTGGTTAACGTTCAGAGTTCCTGTGTCAGCATTTGCCAAAGTTGTGTTAAAAGTCCTTGTACGCAGAAAAGTAACAAGTGTCAGTGATATGCAGTAGTGTGAAGAAACTATATGCATTCACTCCAACCCTCAAATTAACAACAGTTTGGAGATACTGTGGACTACAGTATTTCCATTGTATGCCACTTCCGTTCAAGATTTGATCATTTAAAACGTTTCTTTATGCAGAACTGATACCACCAACACACCCCTACTTTCCAAATGTAGCACTTAACCCTTGTGTTATGTTCACATTTCGCACCCTTTGGTAATGTTCGGGTCAATTTGACCCGAACACCACACAAGGGTTAACCACACAAGGGTTAACATAGATTCTGCATATTTCTTCCAGCAATGCCCGTGAAGAACAAGTATGACTTTATCTTGGATCTTGTAGGATATCTAGGATGTGTATATGACTTTGAAATCAGCAAATAAGAAAGTGGAAATGCAAATATTTAAGAAAAATTCAAATAAAAGTAAAAATGTTGCATTCAAATTCCTCTTCCAGTCAAAGTACAAAAGTATCCATCTCAAAGTGTTCTTACAGCATGAAAGAAAAGGTATTGTTGCTCCAGAAGCATGGTCATACACTGCATCAATTCACAAGTGATATCTTTATGCAGCTGGGCTGAGGTAGAGACCGTTTTTAATTAGTTGTTATGAAGTTAGGTGGTTTAGTGGGCTGGTTCTGATCCTGGGAAACCCCTGAAATTATCCCAAGATAAAGAGTTGTAGTGGTGAGATGACCAATTACATTTCGCTACACAATTAGCATAAATATTGTGGCATTTTTTTCATGTGAAATATTCAAAAGTGTTACCTCTTTGTGCCTCAAACAGTGAGTTAAATGAACCCTGTGACATGTTCCAGGTGTAAGGGAAACTTCTGCAGCAATGGAGAGTCAGGACTCAGAGAGACACGAGGAGAGTTGGAGCTTTGATGTCAAACAATGATAGTTTATTGCTAGGATACGGCCGGAGAATTCATATCACAAGTCACAGCGGCAAAAGGTTCTGACTGCACGGGTGGGTTGCCATGTCAATTCTGATCAGCCTTGCATCTTGGTAGACCCTTTAACTAATTTACAGAGAGTCAACCCACATATTGGGGGAAGGTATACGTGAACACCTGGAGACACAGAATCACTTATCTGACTCTTTGGCTCTGTGACCGAGAGTTGACCAGTCATAAAACTGAGACTAAGTGCTGGAGCACATTCCTTAAAGCTGGCGTCACAGATCAGGGTTATTGATAAACGTCAACAGGCAATATGGTTAAATATCTTAGGAGTAAGGAATAATTATTCTTTGACACTTAGGAGTAAGACAGAAATATTCCCTTACACCAGGTGTTTCAGGTGTTAATGCCAAAGAGCCCCAACTTCTGGCTGCTATTTCTTCTTTTTTTAGTAACTCTTTTTATTGGGTGTTTTTAAATAGTAAAATGGTGCTTAACTAGTACAGGTAATTAGTTCCTTTCCACCAATGAGCTGCCGCCTGTCTGTCTGCCCGCTCGTCCTGTGCCAGTCTGCAGAAGGTAGGCACGTCTCTGAGGGGGAAACAGAGCTCTCTCTGTCTTTAGCGGTGACTCATGCCGTCCAGTCGTCCCAAAAGCGTCTCTCCGGTCCAGCACACGCCCCCGTTATGCAACAGGTGCAGGTGTTCGTCCCATAAGCCTGACGTACTGTACACCCCGCTCGCACCTCATGAAAACACCTTTTGTGTACCTGATGTTTAATCAGCCTTCCCACATGGTTACATAATCGTCATGGCAGTAACTGCTCGGTGTGGTATGTAGACCCGATGTGGGTTTATGTCACTTTGGTTCTGTTTTTAGGATTAAATGAGTCACTCGGAGTACACTGAGGGTCTTTGTTTACATCAGTTTGTTGTGTTTGAACCTGATGTTCAGTTTGTGTTTATTATTCTCACCTTCACAGACTTTTTATGAGGATTTTTAAAGACTTTTATTTACCTTGTTATAGAAATAAACTCTTTACGAGACTTTAATAAAATCTTTTTTTACTAGCGTTACTCCTTGTATTGCAGTAGTACTAAAGGTCCATGACCAGTGTGTTTTCAGTCATTATTAAATGGTCACTTTACCAATTATTGGTCATTAATCTGTTTCTTTTCTCAACTAATCGATCAATTGTTTGGTCTATAAAATCCTGGTTTTGTCCAATTAAAAGTAAAAAACCCAAATATATTAAACTTTTTATCTTAAGAAACGTATTATTTTTAAATATAAAAACACTATTTTATTCCAGGACATTATAATAAAAGTATTGGTTATGTAATTATACATTTCTGGTTATCACAAGTTCTCTCCCGACTAATAGTACTGCTACTTCTACAACTTCCTTCTAGTACCAAAATCCAAACTCAACTCAATGCTTAACAATTTTAAAATGATTAACCCTGCAATTGGTTGGACTATATTGGACTGCATGCAATATGCGGTTCTAGTGTCAGCGGGTATTTATATTGTGTGTTTATTCAGGAACTTTCACAATGACATGATTTCACACCCACAGTCAGTTTCACTGTGGTTTCCCTCCATGACCGTTCTGTATTTTAATACACATGATAAATGCTTCTCTTTCCGACCACAAGGAAATATTCAAATATAATATTTGTGAAGTGTAAATAAAGCACAACAAGTGTCTTTGTTTACCAGCATCTTCCAGGAAGGGGAGTGGCCTAAAACTCTCCCCCACCCAGCACACATGGAAACCACATGGGACATAAAAGTATTCACACGGATGTAATTTTTTAACAAAGGGATAATTACACACACACACACACACACACACACACACACACACACACACACACACACACACACACACACACACACACACACACACACACACACACACACACACACACACAGGCATGTTGCCAGTTTTTCCACAGATGTGTAGCAGATGGGTTTTACACAGCTTGTCTTCACGCAGGAATGAATAGTTTTCAGTAAAAAAGTTGTTGCAACAAAAATAAAAGTGTAAAAATTAGTACAAATGTTGTGTTATCAGTCTTTTCAGATCGTCCTTCTCGAGTTATCGTCGCCATGTCTGATCCAGGCGCCACCGCGACCTCCTCTCCCGCCCCCCCTCCTCCCACCGGACCCCGACCCAAGATGACGAGCAGCGGTCGCTCTGCAGTTCCCATCTCCAGCTCCAACTCTGACTCCACCGACATCCCTGAGTTTGAACCGTTTGGTCTGCCGGGTCCAAGAGGATTCCCCCCTCTGACCGGTGAGAGAGGATTCTGCAAAAAAGTGGCTATTAAACTTAAGTTTTATTGAGTTCAAGTAATAGAAAAACCTTTATAAATCCCTGTATGGAAATGTGGGTGTCTTAGCAGCAACTGCAATAAGGGTAAACACAGGATAGGACAGATATGATTGCACACAAGCATAATAACAATAGTTATATATACATCATATAATAATAGTAGAAGAAATGTAAGAATAAAAGTGCAATGTGAAAGAAAAAGTGACAGTATAAGTTTTACGTATATACAAGTATGTATAGCTATGGGATTGTAATTATTATATAGTAAGTATTGTACTCTTAACAATAAGATCTAGTTCATACAGAATTAATTAATTTCTTAATAAAAAATTGAATTGAAGGAGACAGATGTCACTTCTTGGTTTGAGAAGACTTTCCCGACACTGATACAGTTTCCAGTAGATACATGACTGACACATGAATGACATCCAAGCCAGATACACTCTAATCACTTCATGCAGCTGTCGCACAAGATGACAGCCAGAACGACAAATGAGCGGCTGTAAGGATAATGCAAATAATAAGCCATCACTGAGTTTTCTGATAAACTGCTGACACTTAGAGAGCACTGGTCTCCACCACTCTCTTTTTTTAAGCAAATATCCAGTATAATTTGATGGCTGAGGCTCGATCTTCCATTGGTTAAAAGGATATCTAATGTTTCATTGATATAAGGTTTTAAAGAAACGGGCAGTTTAGCTGTCCCCGCATGTTCATCGGGGCTAATTCATTTCAGTTTTTAAATAATTAAAACATCTAGGTTACCTGGATGTTTAATACAAACACACACATTCAATAGTTTTGTATTTATTCACTTGAATTTTTTAAAACAAGAACGGTAGCCTTATGTGTGAACACTTAGGTCAGAAAACCACCAAACATGTTGTTCTGAGGCTTACATGGGGCTCTTTATTCCTCTTTTCCTTCAGACTATCTTGACATCTTGGACGTGGACATGATGCGACTGCCGGAGGAGAAAAATAAGCAGCAGCACCACACCAACTTTTACAACTCGGACTATCTGGTGGTGCGTCGAGGACAAGAGTTCGAGGTCAAGATCACCTTCAACCGTCCCTACAAACCTGCCTCAGACAAGTTCGCTGTGGAGTTTGTGATCGGTGAGCTCGTCTTCAAACTCATGTTTTCCATCCTAAGATACGATAATACTTTAATGGTCAGATCAAGTCTGAAATTTGACTTGCATCACAGCAGCTCCTTGTGTAACATCAACATAGAAAAATATCAAGACACAATACATGAAAAACAAACAACAAACATTTATCACAATCACTGAGAGAAAACATTTTCAATGGCCCTTTAGCGTGCCTCTGATCTGGGATTCAGCTCTGTATTTACTGAGAGGATTGACTGACGCACAAAGGATGCTTCAGTCTGACTTTATTGAATCGCGGGACCCTGTATCTCCCATTAGATGCTAGCAGTTCATATTCGCTGTTCAGAGCATGGTTTGGGTCCGAGATGATGTTGTTGGACAGCCTTATTAGGTTGTTATGATGAGTCATAAAGTCTCTGACCAACAATCTTTGAGCAGATTTGAACAGGTGGAGCAGTATCCTGCAGGTACCAAGTCTTTATTCTGTTTTAATGTCAAACGTCCCTCTTTTCCTCCAGGCTCCAGCCCTCAGTTCAGCAAGGGCACCTACATCCCCGTCTTTCCCCACAATGAGCGTCCGAGCTCCTGGGAGGGCAGCATCACCAACACCGCTGACAACACGGTCACTATGGGCGTCACGGCTGCTGCCACCTGCATCGTGGGGAAGTACCACATGTACGTCGCCGTGGTGACGCCCTTCGGTATCCGCAGGACCCGAAAGGACAAAAGACGCGACCTCTACATCCTCTTCAATCCCTGGGCCTCAGGTTGGGTTAAGGCGTCCACAACTTCTTTTTTGAACCACTTTATTTTTGCTTTTATCAGGTTTTCAAGATTCAAGTAATAATAGTGCAGAATAGTCTATATACAAGTAATTGGAATATTGATATATATAAGTTGCAAACAGATGGATGATGTTTCAAAAGTTCAGGTGTTTAACAGTCTTATGGCATGTGGGATGAAACTGTCCCTTAGTCTGGTGGTTTTATCCACAAATATCCACGTGACTTGTTGTGTTTTTCCTCAGCTGATGCCGTGTTTCTGGATGATGAGAAGGAGAGGGATGAGTGTGTGATGAATGAGATGGGGATCATCTACCACGGCGCCTATGATGACGTCGCTGAAAGAAACTGGAACTATGGGCAGGTAGAAGAAAAACGAAACAAGAGCCTCAGGATTGATTATCTTAAATATCTTTTGACTTCTTAAGGTTTTTTTTTCCTTATAGTTTAACTTTGGAGTCCTGGACGCCTGTCTGTACATCATGGACCGGTCCGACATGCCCATCACTAACAGAGGAGACCCCATCAGGGTGACCAGGAAGGCCTCTGCTATGGTGAGGAAATATTCATAGACATCCATTAAAACGTAAGATATACAGTTAAATGGTGCAACAAGGCAAACAGAATATTATTGTGCAGTTGTTACGTTCCCTCTTGGACTAGGGGTACAAAGGGAAGTAACACAAATGTAAAAATAACCGGGAGAGAGAAAGAAAAGAGGAAACCGATTGCTGAAGCCACAAAGTGATGTTTTAATTAATACAAAAGTAAAGGGGCTCACCAGCCATTTTGAAAGTGACTAAATGAAACATCTAACAATGAGCAAAATACAAGTTAACAAGTCTTATACAAAGAAACCACACAATGCTGCACATATCACACATGCAGCCAGAGGAGAAGGAGAGAGCGACTGCAGCCTTCCTCAGGTCCTTTATGGAGGCCCTGATTGGGGATTGGGACTTAACCTGGAGGGAGACAATCAGGGGGAGAGGGAGAGAGACACACACACACACACACACACACACACACACACACACACACACACACACACACACACACAAACACACACACACACACACACACACACACACACACACACACACACACACACACACACACACACACACACACAAACACCCACTACGGCACGTAACAGCAGTAAAATATGAAATATCAATGATATAGTGGAAGGAATTATGGACTATGTTTTCTTTCCATGAGACTGCATTAAGATTGTGGAACCAGCTTGAAATATAATGAGCTGTAATCAATTGTTTTGGTTTTCTCTCATAAAATGTAGATTTGTTTTTCTGGGAGACTTTTGCAGAAAGCCTTTTCACATAGCCATCACTTTTCAAAATAAAGTGTAATTGGACCAACACAAGGGTTTCTACTGTTTACATTATATTTTTACTTCAACTCCCTAAATTCTTATTTCTAGGAATTTTACACATCTTTTATTTATTGAATATAGTTTGTTCTTCTTGTTGAAAAAAGTAAATGATACAGAATTAGGCCTTTTTTAAAGTGCAAAGTGCTTGTCGGATGCTCCTTCCATAAATGTCTTAAATCTGCTCTTTGTCACACTCAGCTGAACTCTCGTGATGACGAAGGTGTGCTCGTGGGGAACTGGAGCGGCGACTACACCTACGGCGTGGCGCCCACTTCCTGGATCGGCAGCACCGAAATCCTGCTCAAATACGCCAGCGTAAAGATGCCCGTCTGCTACGCTCAGTGCTGGGTCTACGCCGCCGTCTTCAACACCTGTGAGAAGTAGAAAATATTACACAGATATACTAGTTATTTTATTGATAGCCCCTTTGAATAGTGGTGGCCCTGTTTTTACTAATAGGTAACAACCCACATTTTAGATGATATTTAACTGTTCCAGTGTTGTAGGTAGAGTTAGGGTAAGAGTTAGGGTTACGGTTAGTCACAGTAATCAACCTGAAGTTGGAAAATCAACATTATGATGGAAGTATTCGACGGCCGATTAAATGCACAATTTGGTCTTTTAAGTTGTTACAGCCATGTTTGGGTTAATATAGTTTGTTACACCGAATTGGGGCAAAACTTTTGTAACACAATTAAGTGTGTTAATTGTAAAGCCCAAATATAGAAAAACATTAGCACTTTTTTTGTTGTTGACCAAACCCCTTCAGAAAATTATTGACATCAGTTGAGAAGGTCCTAAAAGGAAAGATAAAAAGTCATTAGAAAGTAGGAAAAGACAACCATGTACAAAAATGAAACCTTGATACAAGTTTTTTTCAATTGATAGGAAAGGAAGCATATTACAAACGTTCTCCCCTTTCAACTCTTGTCTTTGCTTCTGTTTTAATCTTAATTTCAGTTTTTTATTGTCCTTTTAATGTTTGTTTCCAGTCCTGCGCTGTCTGGGCATCCCATCGAGGGTCGTCACCAACTTCTACTCCGCTCACGACACTAATGGAAACCTGAAGATGGACATCATCCTGGACGAGAACGGCAGAATCGACCGCAGTCACACCAAAGACTCTATCTGGTATCACCCTCTATGTAACTCAGCATTACACTGAGATTTAAAAACTAGTAGCTTCAACGAGTGCTGAGATTACAATGACATTCGTTATGAATAATCATGGTCCTCAGAGGATGAATCCTAATACCTTGGGTGACACCCTGACCTTTTTCTTTTACAAAGTTTCCACCTGAATATAATGTTGCTATGAAATCAATTAAGCACTTAAATGCTCCTCAGATGATGAACCCTTTTTCATTTTGACTTCTCCACGACCTTCATATTGGGCCGTTTTCAGACCAAAGCCTCAAGATATTAAATGATGAAGTTAGCTGCAAACATTCAGGCTTCCTTAGAGGATCCTTTTAGATTTTTCAAGACTTTTTCTATTGTAAGGCTTCTTTTAGTCCCACACAAGTTTTTATTTACAAAAAAAGACTGTAATTATATTTAAATGTTGTTTTTATCAGGAATTATCACTGCTGGAACGAGTGCTACATGTCCAGACCCGACCTCCCAGCTGGCTTTGGAGGCTGGCAGGTGGTGGATGCTACACCACAGGAGACCAGTGATGGTAAGTAATAATAATAACATGAATTAAAATCTTGCTTTATAAGAACAGGTAATTGATAATCCTCTCTTATCTGTAAAGGCATGTACAGATGTGGCCCTGCCTCAGTCCAGGCCATCAAACACGGGCAGATCTGCTTCCCATTTGATGCTGCCTTTCTGTTTGCTGAGGTGAGCCTTTTAAAAGGACATTATTTCAGTGTAATTTTCCTTAAAAAAAAAAAGACATGTTATTTTTACTAAAATTGCGTGAATCCAAGCCAGTGTTTTTTTCCTCTGTATTTTTTGCCAACAGGTCAACAGCGATGTGGTGTTTTATTCCCGGAATAAAGATGGCACCATGGAGCCTGTCAGAGTGAACCGGACCCACATAGGCCGCATGGTGGTGACCAAATCTCCAGGAGACATGACCCGCCGCGAAATCACCGATCAGTACAAGTTCCCTGAAGGTCAGAGACTTCATACGACACAAAGTGCAGGGTTTTTTAAAGCCTCAGCTCCTGATTAGGAAACGTTTTTACAAACAAATGTTAAATCTAAAATGATTTGAGTTTAAGAACAGTCTAAAATTAATCTTCCACGACAACTAAAACCCTGAAAGAGGCGCCAACATGAATCCTCATAATGAAAACTGAGGCACAGTGTGAGGCTTCATGTCGTGATGTTATTCTCTCAAGCAGTCTCTGAGTCAGTGTTAAGTCCATTTGTTTTTCACACTGGGCAAAAATGACGGGTCCCAGGTTAATTTGGGATGATGGTGGCTGTGTGTTTGCACAGTGGGCCTTGTTACGGCACCAGAGGAACAGCCATGTACCCCTATGTGGCTGACAGATTTGGGAAGGATTAAGCATGTGGAAATCGGTTGTAGTTTGTGTCAAATTTAGCTTGTTGTTACTTTGGGACCAAATGTTGTTTCCTCTCACGCAAAAGAACTCCCAATATCTCCAAAAATACTAAGTTTGTGAAGAAAACCATATAGAAATGTACAAGAAATGTGTAGCTTTGGGACCAAATGTAGCTTCCTTTCACAAGAGTCCTGAAATCTCGTTTAAAAAAAGCTACATTTGTGAGGAAAACCTTTGTAAGAACACACGTTCAATCCTCCTCTCCAGGCAGTACCGAGGAGCGGACCGTCCTGGAGAAGGCGGAGGAGTACGGCTGTCAACGCGATAAGTCCGAGCTTCCCGCGGCCGACGTGGACCTGATCCTGCCCACCCTGGAGGTCAGCGTGGGCGACGACTTCGAGATGAGCCTGGAGTTTGTGAACCGCAGCGACGAGCGCCGCACCATGGACATCTACATCAGCGGCAGCGTGGTTTTCTACACCGGAGTCACCAGCTCCGAGTTCCTGTTCAGGAATCCCACCGTGACCATTGGCCCAAACAAAAGTGAGAGAGGGGTTTCATTTATTTCACACCAACAAAAATAGACTCATACTAAGAAGTACTTCCTTTTACTTATCGGATGGCAACAACTGCAATACAAAGAATATTTAAACTGCATCATTTTTTTGATTGTTTCTCAGAAAACACCAAAACCATTGATAATTTGCTTGAGCTTTGGAATATAAATATTAATAATAATCTTTATTTGTATAGCACCTTTCATACGACAACTGCAGTCCAAAGTGCTTCACATAGACATTTCACAGAAAATGTATCTCACACAGAATACAGATACCATTAAAGTCCTTAAGCGTCTTTGAGTTGTGAAAAGCGCTATATAAATAAAATGCATTATAAATATTGTGTCTCTAATAGAGAAAGTTGTTATGTTTCTGCGTTCTCCAGGTGTGAAGGAGTCGGTGACAGTCGAGTCGAAGGCCTACATGAAGCATCTGGTGGAACAGGCAAACATCAACTTCATCGCCACTGGGAAGGTCCAGGAGACCGGGCAGATCATCACCGCCATGAAAGTCATCACCCTGCACAACCCCAAACTCACCATCACGGTCTGAAACAATGCTTACTTTCTGACTATACGTAAAACTAATCTTATTACTTGGCTTTAGCTTTTCGGTACAATTCCTGAGTCCAGAAAGTAATTTTTTACGACTTCTTGTGTACTCCAAGTGGCTAATAAATTCAACAAATTGACTTTAGGCCATAAGACTGTTAAACACCTGAACTAGAACATCCATAACATTCACCTGTTTACAACTTACAAATGATGTATCACTTGTATATAGACTCTTTTGCACTATTTTATCTGTTTTATTGTGTTGCACTGTTGGAAGAGCCTGTGACGTAAGATTTTCATCGACATTACTACACTGTAGCCATGTACGAATGAGAATAAAAGCCTTGAACCTTAACTTTCTTTTATGTCATGTTTTCTTATGTTGTGTCTTCAGGTGTCGGAGGGCGGCAGAGTGAGTGAGGAGATGACGGCGACCGTGGAGTTCACAAACCCCTTCTCCTTCAGCCTGGAGGGCGTCTACATCCGCATGGAGGGACCCGGGATCATGCTGCCCAAGTCCAAATATTACAGGTGAGTTCAGAACAGCAGAAACAAGTAGCCATACAAACCTTAAGCCTTAAGATGTTGAATAAAATCTGTCACATAATACAAAATGGTGCTTTAATGTCATCTGGTTATATTGGTGGATTTCTTTAAAATGGGAATTGTATTCATATTATTCTTATTGTAAGAATAGTTTTGCTTACAGTTTTCCCTTATTATTATTATTATTATTATTATTTATTTAGAATTATTATTATTTTTATGCTTCATTTAGTTTCTTACCTGAGGGCGGGGTGGGGATGGGGGGTGGGATGTTGAAAATAGAAAACTGATAGTGAGCATTATGTTCCTGTACCTTTCTTATCATTATTTTTAATTATTATATTTGTACTTTTAATGCTCAATAAAGTATATATATATATATATATAATACAAAAAAGATCTCTGCTGAGAAAATTCTCCTCATAATCAGAGATATTTAAAAATTACCATTTTGAAAGAAATCCACTGAATTTAAACACGATTACTCAGGAATGCTAAAAACACAGCTATAGATAGGATAAAATGTGTAAATTAATTGAAGCTTAGAATATCTTGATTGTCAAATGCAGCCCAACCCTTCTGACATTTAACCCAAATCCTGCTGGTTTCAGTCTGATCCAGGGTCGTACTTCCCTCTCCTGGGCGGAGTATTTCATCCCGCAGCGGGCCGGCAACAGCAGAGTGATCGCCTCTCTGGACTGTCCCGCCCTCAGGCAGGTCCTCGGCCAGGCGTCTATCACCGTGAATCCCTGAGGATCACCATAGGGTCACCGTAGGGTCACTGAGGGTCACTGTAGGACAAGAGTGTCCAAACTACATTTTTAATCGGCCCTCAGCAAATTCTAAAAGTATAATGACTTAAGTATAATAAACTTCTGCTTGTCTTCTATTCTATTTCTCAAATATATAATGTTAAAATATATTACACAGTATTCATGCCCAATTTTCAAATACATTCAGTCAATTAAAGTTGAAAACATATGGAATGCGGCCCACAAATGAAACTTGAGCTTGTATTGTATTGTACTTCTTAAATATATCTGTAAACATATATTACACCGTATTGTTCATGTAAGCCCCCAAGAGTTTGCTAACTTACAATGAGGCAATATACCTCTAGTGAGTGGCCCAGCTCTTCGTATATGTTTCTCTGTGGCCTTCGGTGAAAAAAGTTTGGACCCCCCTGCTGTAGGGGATGCGACACATCATTCACTCACTCACACACACATAAGCCTAAAAGCAGTTGTGTATCTGTAGGTTTAACAGCTTATTCAGTGTAACTTCAGCTTTTATGATAATAATGGGGATAGTTGTAGGCGTAAGAAAAGCAAGCGCAGTTATAACACATTCTGTTATAACACATTCTGACAATTAAAGGTCAACATTTTTGTTATCTGACTTTTTTTGCGGAGAAAGTACATTTTTGAAAGATCTATGATTGCTACTAAAGCTTCAATTTGTTCTCATCATTCAAAAAGTAAATTCATTTTAAAACGTTTTTTTAAAGCTTAATTCATACCTCAATTGTGGCCACCAGGGGGCACAATTACACCAAAACAAGCAGATAGTTATTTGGTTTAAATTACCCATTTGATGTTTGTTTCATTCGATACAACATAATAATTATTAAATCAGCTTTAACTAAATTGTCGAGACATACTCCCTCTGTTAAACCTGCATATCAATGTTTCTACTTGAGCACCATAAAGAGCTCTTTTAACCTTCTTCATATCGATTCATAACATCTGTTTCCTTACATTTTATTTTGTTCAACAACAAATGCAAATAACCAAATAAAAGGTTCATAACTGCATTATTTTTTGACAACATATTACCTGTGTGTGTGTGTGTGTGTGTGTGTGTGGCCTAGCATTACTATACTTGTGGGGACCTACATCTGTTTACACAGTCACGTGTGGGGACTCGCCGCCCTTATGGGGACAAATTGGAGGTCCCCATGAGGGGAATCATTAATTTTAGGGTGAAGACTTGGTTAGGATAAGGGTTAGGCATGTGTTGGTTATGGTTAAGGTTAGGTTAAGTCTCCAGGAAATGCATGTAAGTCAATGTAATGTCCCCTGAAGAGCTGAGAATTGGTTGTTATTGTGGATAATTATTATTTCTTGAACAACAAAGTCTGAAAGTAACACAACATACAGACGGCATCAAGGATTCTGAATTTTATTATTGCTTATATTGGTGGTTAATCTAAAACAAATTCAAAACCAGATACAGTAAATGTTGTAATCAAGTAATTAAGTGCAACAGAATAACGTCCTCATACCAAGACGAATAATCCTTCATGTTCCCAGCAGCAGCTAAAGTTATGTTGCAGTGCAGAAAACTTTAGAAACTGGACTGGGGAATATTTCTAAGATCAAAGACTTCAAAAACATATATCGAATCATAACTCTTCAAATCCAGTCAAATGCAATCAATACAATGCAATTGCTGAAAATAAAGAAAAACATATTTCCTTGACACCTACAGCCCTCTATACTTTGTATTGTTTATATTGTAAGCAGTGGTGTAGTGGTCGCTGGACGCGGGGGATCGCCGTACCCCCACTTATTTGGAGGCCCCACTTTTTTGAAGCATGATTTGTTTTGAATAGTCCTAATAAATGTAAAATCGTTGCAAGTGTGTATTTGTTGTAATAATGACGAAAACATAATAGATTTCATAGTAATTATAATACAAAATAAAAACGATTTCCTTCAAAAATTATGATTCGTCATCACGCTCGCCGCCCGCCGATTTTGCAGTAGCTCTTTCCCTCAAGAACGCAAACGGCTCTATAATGGCAGTCAAAAAAACGTTACTTCTTTTCCAAAAAGAATATCGTTATAATACCCGTTTTGAGAGTGCACTGCGTGCGTGCGCACTTGTAGCATTGTTTGGGATGACCTCATTAAAATAGCGTCCACCCAGTAAAAAAATCCCCACTACACCACTGATTGTAAGTGCTCTTATTAACTTTTCATTTAATGCTGACCAACTCCTTTCTGGTTTTAAACAGCAGTAGAAAAATATGGAAACTGAATTGTTACATTTAAAATATTAAAAGATGATTGGTTAACACGAATGATGGTGTAGAATAAAGACCAGATGTTTAAAAATCAGGTATCTGACATAGTCCACATTTTTAAGGCTTTGTACGAACATTGTGAACATTATTCATTTATATGACAAAAAACAACTCTTACACCATATAACTTTACATGAACATACCCCAAATTATAACTTTCTTTAATTTCTTCTACCTGTATATTCCCACACGGGATGATAAATCATATCTCCTCACGTTCACTTGAAAGTGATGAGGTAGTCGGGGTACGCTTGGTTATCATGAAACACGACGTACATTTGGGGGTTGTCCACTCTGTCGACCACGCTGTCGTAGCGGTCGTGGCCCTCCTGGTCGCTGACGGGAGGAGGGACCCTCATATTTTCTTGCCCCTGAGTGTAGAGGCCGGTCAGGACGCGGACCACGAACATGAGCTGGGAACCATCATCAGCTGGCTTGGAGTAGGTGGGTTGAGCAGAGTAGTTGGCATTTACAAGTATGTTCCTTCCCCGTAGGAAGTTGCTCAGAATAAAGGAAAAGTAAAAGTCAACTTTAATGTCAATATTTCTGTGTGTTTGTACAGACAGAGCGATCGAAATAACGTTTCCAACAATCCCGAATACATCCATCCATCCATCCATCTTCTCCCGCTTATCCGTGGTCGGGTCGCGGGGGTAGCAGTTCCAGCAGAGAGCCCCAAACTTTCTTTTCCCTGGCGACATCAACCAGCTCTGACTGGGGGATCCCAAGGCGCTCCCAGGCCAGCGAAGAGATATAATCCCTCCACCTGGTCCTAGGTCTACCCCTTGGTCTCTTCCCAGCTGGACGTGCCTGGAACACCTCCCTAGGGAGGCGCCCAGGTGGCATCCTAACTAGGTGCCCGAACCACCTCAACTGGCTCCTTTCGACGCGAAGGAGGAGCGGCTCAACTCTGAGTCCCTCCCTGATGACCGAACTTCTCACCTTATCCCTAAGGGAGACACCAGCCACCCTGCGGAGAAAACCCATCTCGGCCGCTTGTATCCGCGATCTCGTTCTTTCGGTCATGACCCATCCTTCATGACCATAGGTGAGGGTAGGAACGAAAATGGCCCGGTAGACAGAGAGCTTTGCCTTCTGGCTCAGCTCCCTTTTCGTCACAACGGTGCGGTAAAGCGACTGCAGTACCGCTCCCGCTGCTCCGATTCTCCGGCCCATCTCACGCTCCATTGTTCCCTCACTCGAGAACAAGACCCCGAGATACTCATTCCCTACTTGGAGTGGACAGTCCATCGGTTTCCTGCTGAGAACCATGGCCTCAGATTTGGAGGTGCTGATCCTCATCCCAGCCGCTTCACACTCGGTTGTGAACCGATCCAGTGAGTGCTGAAGGTCGCAGACCGATGAAGCCATTAGAACCACATCATCTGCAAAAAGCAGTGGTGCAATCCTTAGTCCACCGAACTGCAGACCCCCTCCCCCATGACTACGCCTCGAAATCCGATCTATGTATATTACAAACAGGATTGGTGACAAAGTGCAGCCCTGGCGGAGGCCAACCCTCACCGGAAATGGGTCCGACTTACTGCCGAGGACCCGGACACAGCTCTCGCTTTGGGAGTACAGAGATTGGATGGCCCTGAGTAGAGACCCCCTCACCCCATACTCCCGCAGCACCTCCCACAGTAACTCCCTGGGAACTCTGTCATACGCCTTCTCCAAGTCTACAATCCCGAATACAAAATACAATAATACAAATATACAAATCTTTATATCCAATATATATACAATCAACAGACACATTTATACATATGCACACATTAAGATAAAACACAACAATCAATATATACAAAAAAACAGTCACTTCAATATCTTAGGGAATGTACATAGTGCAAGATTGTCCAAAGCAGCGTAAAAAAACGTGTCTGGTGGGAAATAAATCTTTATAACCCTTTGAAAAAATGGCAGATATTTAAAAAAAATTGCTACAAAGTATATACGACACATTACTAGTTGAACTAAATAGGATTACTCACCTTCTATTTCCTTGAAATAGATTTTATACGTGTTGCCTCCAGCCTTTTCGATCATCCCACAATCACCTCCACCAGAATCCCGTCTTTTCCGAAAGTGCCTCCTGACTTTTTCCTTCTCTTTGTCTGTCAAATCTTTCGCTTCAATGAACAGTGGATGTTTGAATTCCTCCATTTTACCTGGAATTCTGAACTTCAAAAGTTGTCAAAAGTGTGGTGCTTCTTAGAAGGTGTCCGTCTAGAGCAGGGGTTGGCCAACTTTTTGGCTCGGGGGCCACTGAGTTTTAAAATTTGACAGACGGGCCGGGCCAGTAGCAGATCGTGAAAATATATTTAGCTGTCCACTCCTCATTAAAGACTGCACTCAATGTCGACTTTTCTTTTCTTTGGTCCACTCATTGTTACAGATGCAGGTTCAAAGATGAATTAGGTTCAAAGGTGAATTATGTAATGTAATGTAATTATTGCGTCATTGCGTCATCGCTTGCGTCATGACGTAACCGTTGACGTGCCTTCTTATGACCCACACAGTGTTTTACGTCGCTGAGTTTCTCCACAACACCGCTCACAACAACATCAATAGAGGACTGCGTCGGGTAGTTTTTAATCATACGAAGCCAGATTAAATTAAAGAACTACTTCTCCAACCTTATACCTTTCTCCAGAGTGCCAGTCTGAAGCTCTTCAGTTTATTTAGTTTTGCTTTCCCTTAGGCTACCTATTGTTTTTTATTCACTTCCTTATATGTACAGATTGATTGCTGGCAGAACCTTTAAAGTGGGATTCCCGTGGTTAATCTTGTTCTGCATGAACCCTGATACCTGTTAGTGTAATGCAGTCATGATGATAACATTAGGATGTTTTATATGATGTTGATAAGGTGTTTTTTAGAGCTTGTTTGAAGAAAAGGGTTACCTGCTGAGAATGACTATTTAGTTTGTGAGATCATAAAGACTGAAGTTACAAAGTAATTGAGCGGTTAAAACATTAAACTGAAAGGGCTTAATGATCTTGTAATTTATAAAGCAGTTAAAACAGCCCTACTTTCTAGATAGATAACCCTTCAGAGGACGAATGTTTTTATTTTTGATTTCAATTACTATAAGCGTTTTATAACTAAAACTATTCCAGCTATAAAAAGATAATTTATTATAAATTAACCATGCATTTTATGTCTTAGCAGATAATTAAAATGATAGAAAGTCAGGGAAGAGAGAGGTGGGAGAGTAATCTCCAGAAATCAATAGGATGTGTTGCGTTTCCAAACTGTAGAAAAATAAATCAAACCAACCAAAGACGAGAACAAGTTCTAGTGTTAAACTGTTACCATGAAGCGTTTCCACCGCAAACCCCTAGATGTCCTACTTTGACTAAATATTATGAGCACAAGCTCCCAGTCTGCAAATGCAATACACCTTTACAACCTCATGCAGTGATTTTAAAACAGCCCAGTAAAATGTGTGTATAAAATAATAAACATATTATATATACCTATTTGCACTGTTTAATATCCCGGGACAGGGTAGATGTTAAACTTAATAAACATTGAGACGTGACCTAAATTGGGTGATAATTCTCTGTGAATTTGCCATGAGTGACCCCTTTAACATCACACATAGTCATTTAGGCCCCGGCAGCACTACACCCCTGGTTCTAAGGGACATGTTGATGTCTTGATGGGTTGACAGCATGTCGAGGATAACATCGTATGTATATCCTTCGTTAAAATATTCCCTTAAGATTTCCATCTCTTCTTCCATTCTTTCCAACTCAGTTTAAAATTCTTGAAGAAACAGCTGAACGGTACCAAACAGGAAATAGGTGGTGCTGTCGGCCGGGTGCTGACCAATCTAATTTCTTGACTGGCAGCAAAAACAACAAATCACAGCAGTGCTTCTCTGGCTGGCTCTTTCCAATCACAAACAAGAAGTGTTCTCCCTAAAGGAATACCCTTTCCGTAAAATGTGAAATGCTGTGGTGTTTTCTGAAATGCTGTAGTGTTTTCTGAAATGTTGTAGTGTTTTCTGAAATGCTGTAGTGTTTTCTGAAATGTTGTTTTGACTTCGTGTAAATCATATCTCCTCACGGTCACTTGAAAGTGATGAGGTAGTCGGGGTACGCTTGGTTATCATGAAACACAACGTACATTTGGGGGTTGTCCACTCTGTCGACTACGCTGTCGTAGCGGTCGTGGTCCCCCTGGTTGCTGATGAGGGGAGGGACCCTCATGTTTTGTTGGCCCTGAGTGTAGATGCCGGTCAGGACGCGGGCCACGAACATGAGCTGGGAACCGTCAGCAGCTGGTCTGGAGTAGTAAGGTTGAGCAGAATAGTTGGCATTTACAGCGAAGTATGTTCCTTCCCCGTAGGAAGTTGCTGAGGATAAAGGAAAGGTTAAAGACAACTTTAATGTCAATTTGTCTGTGTGTTTGTACAGACAGAGAGATCGAAATAACGTTTCCAACAATCCTGAATACAAAATACAATAACACAAATATACAAATATGTATATCCTATATATATACACAATCAACAGACACATTTATACATATGCACACATCAAGATAAAACACAAGAATCAATATATATAAAAGAACAAAATAACAGTCACTTCAATATCTTAGGGAATGTACATGGTGCAAGATTGTCCATAGCAGCGTAAAAAAGTGTCTGGTGGGAATTTACAATAAATCTTTATAACCCTTTGAAAAAATGGCAGATATTTCAATTTGTATGGTGAGGAAAGTCTTTGAATGGCAGTCGCTGAATGACAGTAAGTATTTTTTCATATGTTCCTACCTGAAAGTCCTTTTGGTGCCTAGAGTTCATCAAATTAAATCTAGATTATTTCCTAAATTTGGGCTACAACCATAACAGCTAGTCCAAACTCAATAACAGCTCCTACCCTACATACAGTAGGAAATTATGCTTTCTAAAAACAGATGAAAGAGCAGTGATAAGATCAGATTAAATAAAAACATGTTTACCGTTCTGCCCAGAAAAGCGCCTGTTGAACCCAGTTTTTACGATGGAATCACAGTTGTCCTGGGTCGTCCCGTGGTACAGGAGCTTTTCACATTCTCCACCCTGCTGTTTGTACTTGTCAGAGATTTGCTTCTTCTGAGCTTCATAGGCGCGCCGCAGATGGACATTCTGCAGGCGCTCGATCTATCAAGAAAAATCAAATACGAAGACATAAGCTGTACAATTTAGTTTGAAAGGATGTAAATATGTTTGCAAATGCACTGTGTACAATATACTATAGAGCAGGGGTGCCCAACCTTTTTTGAACCGAGAGCTACTTTTAAAGTTGCCAGTCTGCCGAGATCTACCAGTCCAAATAGAGAGGCGTAGCCATTACTGACAGCCTACTACCAGGTAAATACACACTTCTACTTGTATAAAACTGACCTTTGTACGATGAATACTTCATAAAATACTGCAGATCCTTTATCTTACCTCTTTCTAATCTACACACATACAAGTATTTAACTGAAGTTACACAACAGTGTTGTTGATACAGAGTTGGAGTTTATTCACACGTCACCACAGTGGGTAATGTTTTCAAGAAACATTGAACAGTGCTGCCACATATGACACAGGGAAAAAGAAAATACTCTGAACCCTTTCTTTGCCATTATATAAAAATAGTGTTGCTACAAAAGTATAAATTAGGCTTACTAATAAGACAACTCAGATCTGAAGCTACACAGGAATCTGCTGCAACAGTGCAATAAAAAAGACAAAATTAATAGAATCAAACCCTTTTTTATGCATTTTAGTAGAGTATAAAAAGAAATGCCTTTAAAAAATAGGATGCAAGCAACACTAGTTTCTTAACCTGAATTGATAATAGACTATAATCAATTTAAGTTTGCATTCCTATACCATTTTGTACAATAATTATAATGAATAAGTTCAAACAAACTAAAACTTACAGCTGATTAATAACGGTATCTAACTTGAGTTTTTATTATATCAAAAACCTGTTGAAATGCTGCTGTTATTTTTACTGTCCCCCAAAAGCGCGTGGGCAGCCTCCATGAATGCTTCTTTCACAACTTCGCCGTCTTCGAAAGACTTCATGTGTTTCGCAAGAACGTGACTGGCCCGATAAGATGCTCTGGTAGCAGCCTTGCTCTTGTTGTTGGGCCTGGTGAAAATGGACTGCTGTGCATTTAGCTGTCCTCTCAGGCCCCTCCCCTTTTGGAGCGTAGGGCAGAATTAGGAGGGAATTCCGTCTCGTAGCGTTTGTGCACTGTTTTGAAATGCCGCTCCTAAATTACCCTTCTTCAATAAAGCCACGCTCGCATTGCAGATGAGACGGATGGACTTTGAATTGGAATAGATACAAAAATAATCATCCTCCCACTCGGAGTGAAAATTATATAATTTGGGCTTTTTTGCTTCTGCCATAATTGCGGTCTTGTGTGTGTGCGGACTGTCACTCCTGTTGACACGGACAACGTCAGCGAAATACTGCCCACTGCCCACCAGCCACGCCCCGACACATGGGGTCACGCCGGCCAATCACAAAGCTTTGATGCGTTCATGTACATTATTCTGCACAGGAAGATTATGTTACAGGACATTAACGATACAACAGAATGTTGTTGTTCTATTTTTAGACACATCTCGCGATCGACTGGGAGGGCACCCCTGCTATAGAGAAATAAAATGTACAGGTTCAATTAATAGTTTTCTGGACGGTGCAATTTCCTACCTTCAGCACGGTCTTGCCGACTGTTCGTTTGAAGGCCTCCTTCACTGTGCGGTACTCTGCATAGGAAGGAAGGAGTTCAACCGTCTTCAAAGCTTCACCGGCAGCCATGTTGTCCCAGTACAGAGGGAGGGTGAAGTCTGAGAGATGTTGGAGGACAAATTGGAGAAAAGGTAAATGGTCTTTACTTCGAAAACTAAATGTAATTTTCCCTCGATGTAGACAAAAAACAGACTTTAGTTTGGTTGAGTGAGATATATCTACACGGTTTTACTAGCCTCTTTTGCTTTGTTTATGATGTCACAGGATAAATCCTTAACTCTTCAGTTTTAACTTGAAAATGAAAAATATATACAAAATCCTTTGACAGAAAAGGGTTAGGGAATTCTTCCACTTTTCATTACTTTTGACCTTAACCAGAATGTATCAAGCAGGGATCTTTTTGTAACACATTAGAACCATCTTCTCACCTGGCAGATGCTCAAGTCGTTTTAGTTTTGCTGTTTGACCACCTAAATATCTCGTGGCCTCCATCCTCGGCAGATCCGCGTTCCACTTGTCGCCCTGAGCGTCCACTATCCTTCCTCCTACATCGTTATTCTCCAGACTGTGATTGGCTGTTTTGGGCAACCTCTCCCAGTTGCCTCTATGTCTCAAGATGCACCAAGCCACACGGGCGTACAGATCCTCCTCCTCCCTGACTCTCACCTCTCTTCTGAGGTTGCCGTGTAGAGAGGCGTTGATCATCTGCATTACCTTGTTGACCCCGTTATTTAGCCCGCTAACTTTCAAGGTGCCTTGGCTCAACTCAACATACAGACCCTCGGTTTCCACCAGCTGCTTCAGATCCTTCACGTCGTCCTGGGTGAGGTCTTTCAGTTCCTCCTTTCTGAAGGTTTGAGAAGAACACTGAGCCTGATACAGATCCGTCAGCTTTGTCATGGCACTGTCAACATTCTTTCTGGAGAGACCGAGGAACCTGAAGACGGACTGCTGGCTTGTAGAGCGGTTACAGACGATGCTTAGATCTGCCTCCACAGATGGAGGTTGTTGTTGTTGTTGTACATAAGGCAACTGAGGTACAGAAGCTGCAAGGCAAGGTAGGTGAGATGTTAACAATTAGTGACAATACCCGAAGAGCAAAGAGGCAGATTTATATGCTGGTAAATCACCTTTGTTGATCACAGCAGTGGAAAACATTTGCATTGCTTTTTCTTTAAAGGCCAGGAAGACGTTGATCTTTAGCAGGACGAGGCGGATATCAGTGAGAGAGTTGAGACCAAAGGACGACGTGGCATCCTTGACCCCTCGGAGGACGGCTCTTGCCACAACACCAGGGTCCAACCCACCAGCTCCTGCACATTAATTTAATGAGTAAACCTGACACATTTCTATCCTTATATCAAAAAGAAAGTGTTACAGAATACTCACCAGCACAGATAGCAGGTATGGCCACGGACTCGAACCCAAAAGATTCACAATGTTCAACGATGCGAATCACCATTTGTTTGATGACGACTGCATCGTTTTGTCCACAGACATGGAAAAGGGCTTCACAGGGGAACTCTCCCGATTGGGACACAAAAACGTCTCCACGAGTGTATTTTGCTACAAACAACAATAAACAGGAAAGCTGAGTAAAGAAGTTGTAGGAGTGTGTTGCTTAAAAATGTCTAGCAAGCCCTTTGTTTTATTTACCTGCTTTGAGTTCTGCCTCCACATCCGCTCCAGCTACAGTTAAGATGTCTTTGCACACACCTGTAGGATAACCATACATTTTAAAATCAGTGAAGGGATGTCACTTTTCTGCCTTTTTTAAAGCATCCTTAGTTCTCACTCACCATTCTGGAAATAAACAAAGTCGGTCGTGTTCACCACAGCATCCGTCGTCTCATCAGTGATGTCACCAAACACCAGTCGTAGTTTAACCCCGCCGCCCACTGTCATCGTGATTTCATCAAGGTCACTGGTGAGGGACCTAAAGATTGCTAAAACAAACAACGCTCCAATATATATTTCATGTGTGTCTGATTTTTAATCTTGGCCATTGAGAATGCGGATGGAAATGGTGAACAATGTACTTGCTAAATACTTAGTTAAACAGTTTACCTTCTCCTCCCTGGTTCACATTTAAGCCAGGGTGCCTGTAGACGTCTTGGTAGCACTGTAAATAAAAACAGCAGCATTAAACACTTTATTTCAGAAATCATGCATCTTAAAACCAAGTGATCATATTCACCTCCTCAGAGTCAGGGTAGCCTGGTTTAATGACGATCTGGATGGCGGTGAGAGACCCAGAGGATGCAGATAATCCAAGCTGGCAAATATTCTCCATAAGCACTTGAATGGCCTCTTTCATTGGGTATTTTAAAAAAACTCCGGGTCCAATGACTGGAAAGGCAACTGTGCTATAGCCCTGCTGTACGCAAAGGTCCAAGCATCTCTTCAGGGCATTACCAAGCGCCTGCAAAACAAAAATCAGAAACTTTGTTTGTGTCAAAAGTTACCCCTGCATTGCACAACACTTTCTGTGATTGTATATTTAAATGGTCGGTTGTAAATAGCAACATTTATGAAGTACAGGTTTTATTTTCCATTAATTAGCCAGATTATTTGCTCTAATTCATGGCATTTGACTGCATCACATGAGTTTGAACTCAGCCTTTGCCCGCACCTACAACAATATTAAATCCACCAAGTATTTAACTTTACCTTCACACTCTGCCCTCTGACTCCATCCCATGGCAAGCACTCGATGAAGAAGATCTTGGAACAGCCCAGAGATGGAGGCGCGTCCACCTGCAGGACATCACCAGGGGCAACGGTACAATTCGCTGCCACCGAGTCAAACTTTGACTTGATTGCATTCCCGGCTTTTTTAAACAGACATTTACCAATCTTAGTAGAAGTGAGGTTCTTGTTGAGCATGGGGACAACCAACACATTCGCCTGTGGAAACAATGTGGATTAAAATCAATGTGAGTGGTTGTATTGCTGCTTTCATTATTCTAATTAAAGTTAAGCGGAAATGTTCAAACCTGAGTATCTATCAGACTGCCAAGCTTGATCTCCAGGCTCGTCTTTATGGCCACATTGCTTCCAACAGTATTGCAGCGCAATCTGGGGAGGGGTCCGGGTGCCAAGCCGCTTGTTACAAGGCTGCTGATGCTTCGTGGTTTACTTTGCACATTTGCCGAATGCACACCTTGCTGTTCCTTGACGATAACCTGAAATGAGCTCTCTACCAACTCCTTGCCCACTTTACCTTCTGCTTGGAAGTACTGCAGAGCCCCCGGTCCATCCAGAATCAGAGTGTCGGAGGTCAGACTAGCTAGAGCTGAGATTAGACCCTGCTTGGCCTCTTTGACCAGACGACAGGGACCAGACACAAGCACACAAGGGTATGGGAAAAGTGAGGCTTTCAAGGTCACTTTGTTCTGCTTCATACCAATCATTCCTAAAATCTTATCAAAACAGTCAAGCAGTTCAGGATTCGGTAGGTTTAGAACTTCTTGTGTCCCGATTTGGTTGATCTGGTAGTCATGCAGAACCTCTTTGAGCTTATTCACATTTTCTCTGTAGCCCACCAGTTGTACTTTGGTGTTTGGGGTTCCACCGGTTCCTGGGATGAAGCTGACGTCCACTCTGAACTCTCGAGAGTTAGCTTCGTTCTTGGCTTTGAAGAGGATTTCCTTTATTCCATCTCGATCTGGAGGTGCAGCTAGTGCCCCCTGCAGCTCGACATTGGCCACATCAAAGTCTCTCTGCAGCATGGCTTCGGCCTCATCGAGGGCATCGGAGGACAAACTAGACATCACCAGCTCGGACCCAACCTCCAAGGAAACAGGATTTCTGAGTCTCTGCTGGAAGTGGGTCTGGTACTTGGATACGGCACCGCTGGATCCTATAAAGGTCATCAGGGCTGTGGATAGTTTAACTCGCTTTTCCTTTACTTTTTTCTTCAGGTCCTCAAGTGTGTTGGCTCCTGACTGCACCTCTTTGTCAGGCCCCTCTAAGGTCACCATGGCGCTGCCTATGTTGATCTTAACTTCTGGGTATTGGGTGCGCATTTCTCGATTAAACTCTTCTTCTACCAGCTTGAACAGCTTCTCCACAATTGGTAACTCCTTCCGGGTTGGCAGGCTCTTTTCGAGGATTGCTATTTTCTCATGCACAGCCTCAGTTTCTCCCACAACCACTGGATAACCGCCCTCTCTGTACACTTTAATATCATCTGTCGCAAAGGAGAGCTCCTGCAGTAGGATTTTGGCTTTTTTCGGCTCAACCACATGATAGCAGAGGTATCTCTCAGTGAAATTGATCAAGACTCGATCGACCTGTAACTCCCACTGCTCTGCAGCCCCAAAAGCTCCTCCAGGCCCCTTTTCAATATCCCCCCTTACCACTGCCTCCTCTTCCTCAAAATCTAACTCTACTTGGCAGCCGATACATGAGAGTTGTTTCTGTAATAATTTGTTTGCTTTAAGATTGTCTCTAAGGAAAAACATGAGGAAAATATCTAGTTTGAATATCTTCTCAAGGCCTTTTGTGTTGACTTTGGTGGTTGTCTGAAGCAAAAAAGAAGATTAAAAAAGTATTAATTTATAGTAATGTATCTGTAAAACATGTTGTTGTTTTTTACTTTAAGGTGCTTTTACAACAGCTGTACTGTACATAACATTGTCATTGATAGAATTGGACTGAGAAGAAATCCTCTCAAACAGGTTTGGCAAGCTCATTTGACTGTGACGTATCTTTTTCCATAAAGGGTGCAGCTAATGTTTGCATATACCTTCGGTTGACTTGTAGATGGCTGATCCGGGGTCTCTGGGCAATAACTTCGACTCACATTTAGACATAAGTCGCCAGAAGGAAGGGAGATACTATGAAACTTCCTCTGCAACACCCTTTCCTGGTCTGTAGAAACACAAATACCAAGATCTCAACAACATCCTACATTTAAACTACAAAGTATGTACGACACATTACTAGTTGAACTAAATAGGATTACTCACCTTCTATTTCCTTGAAACAGATTTTATACGCGTTGCCTCCAGCCTTTTCGATCATCCCACAATCACCTCCACCAGAATCCCGTCTTTTCTGAAAGTGCCTCCTGACTTTGTCCTTCTCTTTGTCTGTCAAATCTTTCGCTTCAAAGAACAGTGGATGTTTGAATTCATCCATTTTACCTGGAATTCTGAACTTCAAAAGTTGTAAAAAGTGTGGTGCTTCTTGGAAGGTGTCCGTCTAGAGCAAAAAGTCTGAAGCTCTTCAGTTTATTTAGTTTCGTTTTCCCTTGCCCATTGTTTTCTGTTCACTTCCTTATGTTCAGGGGCGGCGTCAGGCAGTAGCTTGCAGTTGCTACAGCACAGGCCCGGTTCTACGGGGGTGCATAAGGGTGCATTGCACCCTCAATTGAGTCATTATGCACCCTCATTTGAAAAATGTAAAGTGAAAAAAAAAAAAAGATTAAAAGTGAAAAATATTACATAATAACAATAATAATAACAGTAGTAGTAATAAGAAGAAGAAGATAGTATTTGGTCAATTTAAACGATAAGTAACGTTATTATGTCAGGTGCGCGTGACCTGTGCCGCTGCGCGTTCGTCATCTGCAAGGTGCTTACACAGCAGTCAATGATGGACATCAGAAAATGGTTTTAAAAAACAGCCCTTATCGCCAGCAGTAACACTGCATCTACTGCAGGTAATAACAGTTCAGATCATGGGGACATTACGTTACCCGCGGCCACTGTCGTGGACACTAACGTCCTCCCGTCCTCGCCGGCTTTGCCCGCCTCGCCCACGGAGGCGGAGCAGTCGCTGCCGTCTTCGTTGCCCCAAACACCGCCACCCCTCGGCGGCACACAAGTGCCAGAGGACCTCGGCAAAACAGAGCCTGCCCAGGTATATTTAAAAAAGTACCCAACTCGTCTGTACAGTGGGGTAAGGCGCTCATTTTGCAGCTCATGGTTTCAAAACAGAGATTGGCTGGAATATTCATGTAAAAAAGATGCCATCTTCTGCTATGCATGTAGACATTTCGGTCTTAAAAAGGGAGTGATTTGTAAAATATCCATAAAGAAAAAGTAAATCTGTTTCTAGTTCTGTTTCATATGCCCCCGGACCCCCCTAGAGGGTGTTAGGTCCACTCCCCACTTGTAAAAAATAGCACTTTACCACTGCACCCTCTCTAATCTCAGATGCACCCTGAGTCATTTTGTTCTGGAACCGGGTCTGCTACAGCAACACCAACAATTGGCTTAGCAACTGCAAAGCAACCCCAAGAAATGTATGTTTTTTTTATATATATCTGAAATTCATAATTAGAAAAATTATTGATTTGAAAATGATATGCTACATTACAGTACAACTACTTCTGGGTTTTTCATTCAAGCTCGGCTCTGTGTGTGTGGCACGAGCGCACGAGTGAGTGAGTGAGCGAGCGAGAGAGCACCGGTACTGGAGATTGTTGTTGCTGCGCTAACGGATATTAGAAGCTGTTTCTACAACTAAGTGAAAGGAAAGTCCTCTCCTGTCAGATAACGTCAGCTCAGTGAGGTAAATGACTCTCTCAGTGTTTAGATAGTTAACTTTAGTGTAAGTTATCTCAGTGGATCTCAAAACGGTTTGATCACTTTATGTAAACAAGTATTTCCGAGGCACACCTTCATTTCATTATAATTATAAAACAATAAGAATAAATGAAAAACAGTTATGAAATACTATATGAATACAGTTTAAAAGGGGAGTGTTTAGTAAAACATCCATCAAGAAAAAGTAAATCTGCCTACAGTTCTGTTTCATATGGACAGGGGCGGTTCTAGGGGGGGCCAGTGCCCCCCTAATACTGACCTCCCTGTGGCCCCCCTAACAATGAAAAGTATTTTTTTTTTTTTTAAATGTATATTTTCTGGTACTCGGTTTGCCAAAAACCGCAGGATTTTGTTGCTGTAATGTGAGATTGTGCAGACACCCTTATGTAAAGTAGAGATGTAACTGTTCATTGCCTTTATTTTTATATAAATATGGTGTTAGTGCAAATATTGCACTATAACTTAAGCTGAAGCTAACAGTAATAACTATAAGATCTATCTGAAATACATAAGTGTACAGAAACAAATACCAATAACTGTATTGCATTGTTTTCTTATGCGCAATTACTTCATACGGTCTAGTTCTCTTTTTCGTCCTGCATTTATTGTGCCCCCCTCAGAAAATAACTGGCCTCCCAGTGGCCCCCCCCAGTCAAATTGGTATAGAACCGCCACTGCATATGGGTGTTGAGAGATGTATCCATATCTCTCAATGTTGCTCTCAAAGTGCACCAGATTGATGCTTTTAACTTCAATAATTAAAAATCTTCCCGGGGGAGCATTTCCCCCGGACTCTCCTAGGAGGCTGGTCCGCCCCCCACCTATAAAAGATAGCACTTTACCCCTGCCTATATGCCATGAGCTGATTATCGAGCCTTCATTGTAACAAGTGCACACATGTGTGTGTGGGGAGTGTTGCTGTAGAACAGGGGTGCCCACACTTTTTTGGCTGGTGAGCTACTTTTGAAATGACCAGCTCACCAAGGTCTACCAACCAAAAATAAAATCCCAAATTGCAAGGGTTGCTGAATAACACGTTTTATTTATACATGGGATAATAGGGCTGCAACAAACGACTAATTTGATAATCGATTAATCTATCGATTAATGAAACGATTAATCGACTATTCAGACTATTACTGTATTCCTTGCACAATTTCTCAAACGCTCTTATTTAGCCATCAACTTTTAGATTTATCTTGAGGTTATTTTAGGCATGTGGAAACTAACAATGAAGACAATAAAGATGAATACTTGATTCAAAAATACATATATTATTAAATTAACTTAACAAATTGTGAACAAAATTAACATTGCTTTTTATTTAAATAAAATAAATAATATTTCACATCAAAAGAAACAACAATGTTTTAACAAATCGTATTAAATAATCTGATGACAGAACTGTAAACAGAATAGCTGAAACTTTAACAAAATAAATAACTCAGTTACCTCTAATCATTAACCCATATTTGTATAATTGAGTTAACTCTGTGTGCTGCTGCTAGCATACATAACACCTGACGTGGAAACGTTACTCGTGGATGGGGGGGCTACTAGAAAGACAGTGGAACCCGGTGCATTTCTCCGTCTGAATGTGGTGCACTTTCGATAAATGTTTAGACACATTGCTCGTGTTACCGCCCTTACATGCTAAACACTCTTGGCAAGGAGCATTGTCCACCTCAAGACGGGTAACATTTAACCACACCTTGGAGCGCTTCTCTCCCCATCCCCTCCGTGTGTAAACTGCCCCACCCCCTCGCACACAGACGGGGGGGAGATCTCGTCTGGATTGGAAAAGTCGAAAATACACCGACCATTCTTTCACACACACATACGGGTATTGGGCCGAGCGCGACAGCGTACTTCCGGTCTGCACCGTTTTACGCGAGGTGCAAGCAGCCGTACACCGTCTAGGTGTTGCTAAGCTTCCTGTACTGAATATCATAGTCTATTGCCTTAATCAATATCTAGTCAACTCTAAAATACCACATATATGCAATGGCATGATAATATTATTGTGACAAGTGGGGTATTCACCTGGTGTTTCCAGAAATTAGACGTAGATGCAGCCAAAATCGATGAAGGCCACTGTCGTTTTTCCATACATCTGCAGGCAGTCTGTAACAACCCACACAGCTCTAGTTTACGCTGGTAACGACCTAGAGCACACCCCTCAAGTCCAGAGATGTAATCCGAAGACATGCAGCGATTTCTTCGGTCGTTAATTCAGAAAAAAAACCTACTGCGCTCTGCCTGGCTAGTTAGCTAGCTGTTTATATTGCACTTCCAGGATATTAGCACCTCCAGGAAAATGGCGCATTTATATATATTTATATGGCGCGTGTTGCATTGTGGGTAGCTCGTGACGTCACTGTGTGTGAAAGAATAGATGCATTTGTTTGTCTTTTTGCATGTTAGAAACGAGTTGGCGACACTAAGACTGCAAGATAATGTTTCTGTAGCAATAATACATGACCTTTCTCAACTCGCTACTCGGAGGGAAGTCGCTGTCATATGCCTTGTGAACACTCCGATAATGCCTCTCCACGTTACCTTTCTTTGGCAGAGCGACGCTTGCTTTACAAATAATAACCTTTGAATGTGACATCACAAAAAAATATTCTTCCTCCCATTCTGGGTGGAAGTGCTCGGTCCCGCACTCATTTTGTTGTTTGTCTCTAACTTAATTTGAGTTTTCCCGGCACTTGACTGATTTTGTATCGCTTTACATTCTGGGTTAACAGACTGGAAAGCGATAGGTCGCTTTTTCTGTCAATCAAGTAAACTCCTGAACTAAGTAGCAGGGAGGCCAAGGGAGGAGGGATCAAAACCTGTTTTGTCTATTTTAACGGAGCTGGATTATTTAATTTTTGAATGACTCGCGATCTACCAGCATTGCCCCCGCGGTCGTCCGGTCGACCGCGGTCGACGTACTGGGCACCTCTGCTGTAGAACATTCAACTGTAGCGCCCGGTACATTAATGGGAAACCCTATGTTTGAGCACCCTCTATGAAACGTCAAGCTACCCCACAGCACCCCCAAAAGAAAATCTCTGGCGCCGCCCATGCTTATGTTTAAATAGACACACCTAATGACAGATTGATTGCTGGCAGAACCTTTAAAGTGGGATCTCCGTGGTTAATTTTGTTCTGCATGAACCCAGATACCTGTTAGCGTAATGCAGTCATGATGATAGCATTTATGAGGATGTTTTATATGATGTTTGTTAGAGAATATTCCTTCTCTCTTCCTAAGTGTCAAATAATAATTCTTCCTTACTCCTAAGATATTTAACATTTACTGTGTGTTTACATTTACGATCAGCCCTGCTCCTTATCTTCCGTAAGCAGTGGTGTAGTGGGGATTTTTTTACTGGGGGGGGACGCTATTTTAATTAGGTAATCCCAAACAATGCCACACAAGTGCGCGCGCGCAGTGCACTCACAAAATGGGCAGACAGGTCAGAAACTACCGGTATGATTAGTCCTACTTTAGTTACTGTACTGCAAAAAGCAGACGGCGCTGCGCTCAACACACACAGACTCAAAACCATGGACACACTGGCACATAAATTACATAAACAATTTTTAGGCCTAAATTGCATAAATTACAGTATTGCAACTAAGCAGTCTCTCTCTCTCAATCTATTTAAAACTCATAACAAACAAACACAATTCCCAAAGTTGTCCTAAAATTAACTTATTAAATAAATGAAACGAAAAATATAGCCTACTTATGCAAACAACATTGAATCTGGACTTGAAATTATTCTGACAGCGCTGCTTTTCACACACACACACACACACACACACACACACACACACACACACACACACACACACACACACACACACACACACACACACCTTGGGTTTTGAAGACTGATAAATCCGTAATGGATGAACAAACTTTGCAGCCCAGTTTCCCAGCTTTGCAGTCTATCCACGGGTAGCCTCTTGTTTCCTCCGCCACATCTCCTCCGTCCATACCTCTGGGAAAGGTGAGCTTGAGCTAGCCAGGGGAACGTTGCTAGCGCAGCTAACGTTGACGTTAGCATTATCCACATCTTTAGGCGGCTCTTGATGATGTAGTGCTAGTAGCAGCTTCACTTGTAGCTTCGGTGCTGCTAGCCTCTTTCTTCTTGTGAATTATATTCTTTTTAGAAAATAAGTCAAGTAAAAAATGTTTGCCTGCCATTATAGAGCTTTTTCGTTAGTGTTCTTGAGGGAAAGAGCTGCCGCAAAATCGGCGGGCGGCGAGCTGGTTCGCCGTGGGCGTGTCACTGACACACCCCCAGCTCGCTGCGGGGTCCCGAGACTGATGACGAATCATAATTCTTTAAGGAAATCTTTTTTATTTCGTATTATAATTACTGTAAAATGTATTATGTTTTTGTCATTATTACAACAAATACACTCTTGCAACTGATAACACTGGCAATTATTTTTATATTTATTAGACTATTAAAAAAAAGATCATGCTCCAAATAAGTGGGGGTACGGCATACCCCCGCGTCCAACGCCCACTACACCACTGTCCGTAAGTAATGTGATAATGCAGTCGTATGTTGATACTAGGTTTTACAGCTTGACCTACAGGGCATAGGGAGGTTTTGAGAGTGTGAGAACGCTAGCTTCTAAGCTCCAGAGTTGGGGGATATCTCCTGTGTCTCCAGATGTTAACGCCCCATCTCCTCAAATATGTTGTTTACTCTCTCTGAACTAGTTAAAAGGTCTATCAAGAGATAGGCTGGTCAGAATTGACATGACAACCCACCCGTGCAGTCAGAACCTTTTGCTTCTGTGACTTATATGAATTCTCCGGCCGTTGACTTGTAATAAACTACCAGTGTTTGACATCAAAGCTCCAACTCTCCTCGTGTCTCTCTGAGTCCTGACTCTCCATTGCTGCAGAAGTTTCCCTTACAATGTTGATAAGACTAACATTTGGGTGAGGTGTTTTTTAGAGCTTGTTTGAAGAAAAAGGTTACCTGCTGAGAATGACTATTTAGTTTGTGAGATCATAAAGACTGAAGTTAAAAAGTAATTGAGCGGTTAAAACATTTAACTGAAAGGGCTTAATGATCTTGTAATTAAAAAATCAGAGTTAAAACAGCCCTACTTTCTAGATAGATAACCCTTCACAGGACCAAGTTTTAATTTTGATTTCAATTACTGTAATTATTCCAGTTATAAAAAGATAATTTATTATAAATTAACCATGCTCATGTTGAAATAGTGTTGATGACAAGAAATTGTTTTGTTTTAAAGCATTTTATGTCTTGGCAGATAATTAAAATGATAGAAAGTCAGGGAAGAGAGAGGTGGGAGTGTAATCTCCAGAAATCAATAGGATGTGTTGCGTTTCCACACTGTAGAAAAATAAATCAAACTAACCAAAGACTAGAACAAGTTCTGGTGTTAAACTGTTACCATTGAAGCATTTCCACCGCAAACCCCTAGATGTCCTACTTAGACTAAAGATTCTGAGAACAAGCTCCCAGTCTGCAAATGCAATAGAGTGGTGCAGGGAGGACGTATTTACCCTTTATGTTGTATTGATGTCCTTTTTGTTTTATGTTGTTTTTATGTGTAACCAATGTGCTGCAGGTCTCCCTTGAAAAAGAGATCGTTGATCTCAATGGGATTTTCACCTGGTTAAATAAAGGCTACAAACAAACAAACCCGGAAATAAGCTGCGCATGACAAAAAAGCAATGGGATTTCTCCATAGGATTTTGGAAAATAGCTCGAAATAAGGTCTGTGGAAAGCAAACCTGTTTGATAAATGCACGTTTTGTTCAGCCGGATAATCTCCACATGTCTACCCTACCTTTATAAATGTCGAATAATAAATCTAATCGCCAGAAGCAAAATGCTAACGTTATGCTATAAACGAACTACAGCAACGTCACGCCATATAGATATTCAAAACTACAGATTCTAAATGGTAAAAGTTGAAGCGTTTGTTTGAACAGTTTGCGGGAGGCAGGTACTTGCTTTCAAGCAGAACAGGGCAAACAAACTTAGCAGGAGTGTTTACGTGTTCGGCGTAATGACGTACAACGGCCTCGACAACTTCCGTAGTCCTATTCAGCCACTTGTTAAATCGTTTTTCAGACACGTCAACTCTTCAAAAATCACCAGTGGGGTCACTGCTGATGGATTTAATGTCGTAGAACAAAACGTGATCCGTCTCTTAAATCTGTGTCAACCACAGACTTTATTTCCAGCTATTTTCCAAAATTCTATGGAGACATCCCATTGGCGAGACGAGGGAACCGGTAATGGTAAAATGCTAACTCACTTCCGGGTTATAGAACTCGTCACTGCGCCACTCTATACACCTTTACAACCTCAGGCAGTGATTTTATAACAGCCCAGTAAAATCTGTGCACAAGATAATATAAATGTTATACATACCTAATTGCTCCGTTTAAAATCCCAGAAAAATGTGCTTCATGTTTTTAACATCTTAGCTGAAAGTTAAGCTATGCTCATTTTCAGGTTGTATATTTGTATGTTGTGTCTCTACTGGGACATGCTTCCATGCTTTAATGTTCAAAAAGCTCTTTATTTAATTTGACCTTTTTTCACCCTCTGTCTGTAACCAGAGCCCAGTCTGCTCTGATCGGTTAGCTGGCCAGCTCTGTTGTGATTGGTCAACCGCTTAGAGATGTCCCGCCTCTTGGCCTATCCAGTACGATGTGTATAATGTTCGAGTGTTACATAGTGATGTCACTCAGTTAGCCTCGCAGACCATTTACATGCACATAAACTTATATAACTGCACTTCAGAAAAGGGACCACTCAGAAAAAGCATAATACGGCCCCTTTAAGGTTATTTTTACTGTATTCGAAGGTTACTGCTGCAATCTTTCCTTAGAACTGGCATCAAAATGGTGTTGGACAGGTCTCTCTATACACACTTCCCTTCCAATAAAGCAATTTATAGCTCAGTCTGATCCATGTTTAGTGCCATTAAATCCATATCTGGCAGTGATGCAATATTCATGTGAGAGCGTATAGCTTTGCCAAAGGCCTGTTGCGTCACTGCTAATATTTTATTTGTTTCTTGAGAGAAACTTGGATTTAAAAATAATCCCTGTCATAACAGATTTAAAGTTAAAAAAGGATTGATAGAAAGACTTCTGCCTAAGGGCGGATTTCTGAGCTTACTTTATTTGTTTAGGCTGTGAACGATCGTCCAGCCAGCCAGAAATTACCCAAAAATGTAGATTTAAAAAGAAAACGACAGACAATCCAAATGAATAAAATTAAATAATGTCAAAAAAATTAAGGATCCAGGAGGACTTCATAAAGCTTCCAGATGCCACCAACAAGTAATATATATATATATGTATCCGTATATGATCATTTAATTAATTTCTTGTTTAACAGCTACTTACCTGCATATCATTTTAATTGTGTCTTAAATTGTATTAATCTTGTGTGAACTGTACTACTACTGTACTACTACTGTACTACTACTGTACTACTACTGTACTACTACTGTACTACTTTCGCTCTTACTCTGTTGCTGCTTAAACTCCTGACATTTCCTCACAGGGATAAATAAAGGTCTTATCTTATTTTATCTTACCATGGGTTTCAGAGAGGAAAAGGGCAACAGAGAGAAATCCTGACTAAACACAACCAGAGCAGGATGTGAATAACAGTTCAAAGGATTAATGCTTTATTTGACTTCTGCGATTAGATGTAATTAAAAGCAGGGAGTCCTCATTAGAAAGTGAGTCATGGGGATTGAAAGTGAATTCTGAATAAACGTATCCCACTTCTCAGGAAACCATCCCAATCTAACTGCAAGGGTATAAAAGGGTGTTCAGAAAACAGGGATCTTCACTCAGAGGAGACACAGCACAGAGGAGAGGAAATCATTGCAACATCTCCTTTCACTACCATTCGAGGATGAATTATGCAATCCAGTGCATCGTTTTGCTGGCATGCATTATCACTTGCACTTCACTCCGTAAGTGTGTTGTCTTATCATTATTATTATAGCATTTTAAGCTTTTTGTTGTATTTCTGCATTTATTCATCTTCACTTTTGTCCTGATTTTACAGATATTTTGAATTGCCGGTGTATAAAAACCAGCTCGTTCGTAAATAAGTCCCTCATTGCTAATATCAAAGACCTCCCGCCTCGTCCCTACTGCAACAAGAGAGAAGTCATGTATGTATCTATATTTAAACATGAATACATTGCATTTCTTTCAAGTGTTGCTTTAAACTGTTTTACATTAAATCTTCCTCTATCTCCTGCAGTGTTTTCCTGAAAGATAAGCGCCCAGTCTGTCTTGACCCTGAAGGAGCATTCACCCAAGCAGTCTTGCGAACAATTCAAAAGTAGGTTTTTGTTGTTTGTTTGTCATTTTACCAAAATCAGGGAGCTCAGCAGTTACTTGTTATTGCTCCGTGAATCAGGACCAGTCTGTGTGTATGAAAGACAGAGGAAGCGGCATCTAATTCAACTTTGATGACTTAATTTTGCAGATAAGCATGAGGGTCCATGAGACTGTTAAATGAATGGGAACATTAATTCTGATATCAAAGTCCCCCCCCCCAGACTTCCCTATTTTCATTGCTGCAGAACTGTAAAAATAGAATAAAGAAAAACTACATTTGATTATAAGGGGGTCTGATGTAGTCGTAGCTTTTTTATTAAGGAATGACAGGCTTAATACAGCGTTGAATTAAATGTGTCAAAGTATTATGAATAATCAACTTAGAAGTAGACATTTGTTCATGTTGACGTGTAACAAGGCAAACAGTCTGGAAAACCACTCTGTTTTTAAAGGCTTACATTTTTAAATTGAACATGATGTGTTTTCTTTACAGGCAGAAAGTGATACAGGCCTATAAGATTAACAAAACAACTGGACCACCAGCCCAAAAACAACCACAGCATCAACCACAGCATCAGCATCCGTAGTGCCAACATGGTCATAATGCAAATGTGCTTTTCATCAATGCAATTCAACCAGTGTGTAAGAAGATCTGCACGGCACACCTTCTGAATATCCTCTCAGGCATGATGTCACTTATTTGTATCCAGATATGGTCAAATACTTGTCATTTTGTTGTATGCATATCACCGGATGCCACTTTTCTGTTAGTTGTTTTTTCCAAACCTTTAATACAGTCTTTCAATGTGTACACACCAGAGCTGAGTATCATGGCGGCTTGACATCACACTGTGAAGTTTAGTAATGACGTTTTATTAATAATGGTAAATGTGAATTGTTTTTCTTTGTGGTTCATGTAAGGCCATTGTTTCTTATGAAATGTGAAGGTCACTGTATGTTGTATAATACAATAATAATGTACACTACTGACACGTGTCATGTGATGAAAAGCTCTTAATCTTCAATAAATAATACAAATGTGAAATATTGGCAAACGCAGTGAATTACATTTTTATTTTTCTGTGTCGGTCCGTCTGTCTCTCTCGAACTTCACGTTGAAATAATACAATACAATACAACTTTATTTATAAAGCACTTTAAACCTCCAAACCAGTGCTGTACAGGCAAATAGATAAAACAAAGCATACAAAAAAGTAACACAGCTCAGCTCACACACCATAAAACAAGTACAAGTAAAAACAAAAAACTATTTAAATGCAAAAAAGCAACACTCTGAAAGATGTTGAAACGCCAAATATTAAAACGCTAAGGACAAGAGGTGGGTTTTAAGAAGCGATTTAAAAGCAGGCAGTGTGGAGGCCTGTCTGATCTCCAGGGGCAGAGCGTTCCACAGTTTGGGAGCCGCTACAGAGAAGCAACCCTCTGAGCTTTGACCTGGTTTTAGGCACATTCAGGAGCAGTTGGTCCGCTGACCTGAGAGGGCGGTTCGGCGTGTAATGCTGTAGCAGCTCAGCAAGGTATGGTGGGGTCATGCCATTTAGGGATTTAAAAGTAAATAAAAGAATTAAATCAATCATAAATCACAATTAATGAAAGTAATTCATTATCTAAAGTATACAGTAAGCAATATAATAGTATTTATGTTATTCAGCTTCTTATTCCCACTAAAAGGTGTTTTTTTGCCAAGTCATACTGTAATACATCGTTGTATTTCAGTCATGTGTTGTTGAGGCTTGGCATGATGACCCACTGTTTTCCCACATCACTGACCCCAATGTCTGATAAAGACACATGCCTTCGATCATGAGGGAACAATATTTCTCAAGTCTGTGACTGCTTTGTCAGCTAAATATGATTTCAGCTGTTATGTTTGCCACTTATTATATTTACTGAACTTTGAGGAACAGAAACAGGAAGATCATATAATAGCAATTTCAATCTTCTGACAAATGGACTAAACTCAGAGAAATAGACTTCAAACATAACTTTAACTTGTATTTTCAATGTTCATTAATCAGTTTAACCTGAAAACTCCTCTATTGATACAGAGTAGATGGTGGTTAATGATTATATTTATGACATATTATCAAATTAATATATTTCCCCGATGAGTGTTTTTGAGGCTGCACAGCTTGTAAAAAAGTATTCTTGAAGTTCAATGTTCATTTTACCCTCCATCTTTTAAAATGTTTATTTTACCCTCCATCTTTTAAAATGTTTATTTTGATTGTGAATTTGAACTGAAATGGAGTGACAGGCTAGATGTTCAACTTAATAAACATTGAGACAAATACCAGGTGATTGAATTGAAACGGCGCCCGAAAGAGAAACCTAACTGAAATGTTAGTTTATTTGTATCGCTATGCACAGGATGACAACATTTGGGGATTTTTTAAACAGTACAATAATAATGTCAAAAACAAGAAGAATAGAATAGAAGAATATAATTGTTTAATGTCATTATACATGTACAATGAGATAATAATAAATGCTTCTCCCTTTCAAGGGTGCCATCAAAACAAAAACAAAAACATCAGAACATAAGACAACAAATACACGCAGCATACATAGCCTACTTAGGAATAAGGAATAAAGGAATAAGGAATAAAGTGCAGTAATTATTTCCAGGAGTAGTAATTATTTATTATTATTAATTCCTCGAAACTACTACAACTTAAGGATCCATTATAATTCACTCTGAGTTGTTTTTCTGGCCTTAATGAATGTTAGTCAGATATTCTCTCGCTTGTTTGCACATTTTTGTTCCTGACCAAATCTAAAGGAAATACCTGCGTCTTTAGCGGCTAAACGCCCAACTCTGTTCACCAGCTAGTTGATATCTTTATCTGTCTGCCATTATCTGTGGCCCGGTTGCATACAGAGGTCTTCCCAAGGTTTTTGGCTGAAATTATGCTTACGAGAGCCAAGAGAGTGAACCAAAGAAGTAAAATTGTATGCCTTAAAACAACACAAAAAGCTAAATTATCATTACACCTGGGTAAAACAGAGTCCATTCTCTTCGGTTCGAAACATAATCTCAGCAAATCCGACGACTTCTCAGTTGCAGTGGGCGACATTATTGTCACAAGTAAGAAGGAAATTACATACCTAGGATCTATTCTTGAGGCAAACCTCTCCTGTGACAAAATGGCATCCAATGTAATAAAAGAAGTCAATCAAAGAACTAGATTCCTATACCGGATCTCCTCTCTGGTAAACAAAAACACCCTGAAAACTCTGGCAGGAGCACTCATTCAAGGGTACTATGACTATGCTTGCACGTCATGGTACCATAGCACCTCCAAGGCGCAAAAAATAAAACTTCAAACATCGCAAAATAAACTGGTCAGACTACTGCTTGACCTTTCATCTAGAACCCACCTCACCTCTGCCCACTTTGACAACCTAGGATGGCTTAGAGTAGACGACAGAGTACAGCTACTTGCAATGGGCCTGGTCTACAAGATCCACTACACCTCTATGGTACCCATGTACATGTCAAAATTCTTCCCAAAGGTCAAGGAATACCATGATCATAACACCAGAGGGAGCTCCACAAATCATGTGAAACCCAGATTTGGCACAAAAAAGGGGGAATACACGTTTCGCAATTATGCCACATCAAGGTGGAACGCTCTTCCCACAACTGTAAAGGAAAGTAAAACTATACTTACCTTCAAAACCTCTCTTAAAGAGCACCTTCGGGGGAGAGCATTGCAAAACTGGCCCCGGTAATGGTACAAATCTCAACCTGTCGTTCAATGGACAGCTTCCCCCCCCCATCTATGTATATACTCGCATTTTAGACTCTGTTACTAACTGTATATCTGTAGACTTGGTATGTCTTAAATGTCCGGTTAGGATGTATTAGAACGAAATCTAAAATGAAAATTGTAAATAAGCAATCTGTATGTAAAAAACCACCTGTATGTAAATTGTAAATAAGCCATCTGTATGTCAAATATGTCTTATATGTCTTAAATGATATGATGAATTGGAAATGGGGGACCCTGATGTAAACAAGACGAAAGTCTTTCTCTGGTCTGCATCCCCTTAACAATTGTATGTTTTGAGCTGTACTGTACTGTACCCAATATACAAGCTGTTAATAAACTTTTCAATCAATCAATCAATCAAAGAAGCAAAAACGCTCAGAGCAGACGGAACCGGTAAATTGGGTGATAATTCTCTGTGAATTTGCCATGAGTGACCCCTTTAACATCACACGTAGTCATTTAATCTGCATCATAACACCAAACTGAATTGAGTAAACATATTGACAACAGTGTGAGAAAATCTTTTTCACATAGTGACTCTATTGTGCTGTACATAGGGGGTCAGGACAAGCCCAGAGGGCCAAAAAACAACATGCAGTAGCTGCGAGTCAAACTGTGATATGTGTTTATTATTTTATCGTTTCATCTTTGAGTTGGAGGGAAAACACAGAGTTGCCTTATTTTTACAGAGAGAAATGAAGCCGTTCAGACAGACAACCTCCGTCTGAATGACTCGATTCTCGCCAGCCGCGAACACAACGTCTCTTAACCTCAACAGGGCCTCTTGTCTGTCCCTGAACTCACCATCCCATGACTGCCTTCTGCTGCACACGAACGCATCAAAGTGAAACCAACACACACACGTATACAAATTGTTTTTTTCCCCAATTTCCCACAGTTAAGAAAAGCACATGATCGATGTGTTGGAGGGGGGTATATATACATGTTGTCAGGCAGCTGTATGATATCAGTCTGAAGTGACAACCAACAGCTGCAAAAACAAGATGAAGCTCTGCATCGTGCTCGTGTTCGGGACCCTGATTGCCCTCGCCTACGGTAAGACCACAATGTGTTTTAGCTTCTGTTTGACTTTTGCTGCATTTAAATAACCTACTAAAGCTCAGGGTTTTTAGAAATACTGCAGAAACTGACGTGTTCCTTGCACAATACTGAAACAATTCCTCAATCTGGAAACTTTAGTAAAAGCCTTTTAGTTAAAGCAATAATGGAGTTACCTGTATCCTAAAAGTTCCCTTGAGAAACATGTCAAAAGGTCCATTGTATTGAAATACACTAACATATTAAATAACTATAGCTGTGTTTTTGCAGGTAAATTAATTGTTGATCACTTTTTGCTGCATTTAAGATTTTCTTTAACATGTTTTCCACATTTCAGACAGCTATTGGAGTATTTTCATTTCTCTGAAGTATGACTATCAACTTGCAGAGACTTAAAACTTTAAATTGTCTAATCGTTGCATTATAATATATGTGCTGTATCTAAAAAAGCCTGTGTAAGCAAGGCCAAAGCGTAACTAGATGAGTAAAAGTTAACTAAATGTATCAGCTAAATGTGCTTGAAGCATTAAAAGTAATAGTATGGTGTTTTCTTATTATATACTGAAGCATTTTATCTGTAAGAATAATTAAAATGCAGTTGGTCGAGGGGGAGCTCCACTTTTGTACTGTTATCTTTCCAAATCAGTTCTAGACCCATTTTATTTGGGGGGCCATGCTCAGGATAGTTTATTATGACAGGGCCACATTTTATGCGGGATAAAAGACACAAAAGACAGTGTTCAACATTATTATTATTTTTAGTTTTGTATAAATTCAAAGCGCACAACTGAAGCAAAGTAACATAATTTGTTTCAGTGGTTAAATTGTTATTCAATCACATTTTGAGAAACAAAATGCATTCAAGTTAATTTTGTCTAATTACAGCACAACGCTACCTACAATTGTATTATCTTTATAAACTCTTCCCCCAGAACCGCCCACGATCGAAATGTCTCATATTAAGAATATCAATCTGCCATTAATATAAAGTGAAAAATACAATATCTGCCTCTGAGATATAGTGTAATAGAAGTATGAAGTACCACAAAACAAACAGTACTGCGGTTTTTAGCTACAATCCTCCGCTGAAGGCCCCTCCAGACCAAAAGATGCATTCAAGATTTTGACTCATGTGTTTCCCCTTTGTGTAACCCAGTAAACTTTTCATCATGACTTGGAGAATTTACGCTGTAGTGAACAGGAAGATGACTAAAGGAGAAGATGGGGAAGTGAGCGTTGTAGCAACACAGAGGGAGTTGTAATGAAAGCATTTAGAAGGACCTGTCAGCATTTAATTCTTTGGAGCACACAAACATCAGGTCTAATGCAATCACAATGTCACAGTGCCAAGTTCCCAGTAAAATAAAAGAAGGAAGGGGAGCATGCAGTTTGATTGCGTGAATTATACAAGTGCGAACTTTTGATCTCTGACTAATCTTTAAACAGCCAAACAAAACGATGGACTCAGACATATGAGATTCTTATTTCCTTGGGAAATGCAACACTGCAAGACTGTGGTGGGGTTTGAACCTGTCCACTGCACCTCACGCCTCCGCATATTGTGCAAGACTGACAGGATTTCAACAACTGCTAAACTGATATTTCAACATTACAATGACTATTACTAAAAGCCTCGAAACACTATAAGTCATCTCCATGTTGTGAGATGTTTTATATATACAGTCTATGGTTGTGACACATGATTGAACACATGGTATAACATGACTAAATAAATGTCTTTTGATGACAGGTATGCCACCGATCAGCAGAGACTACAACACTCACTGCCGGTGCGTTCAAGTGGAGTCGAGAATCATCCCGCCGGACAGCCTGAGGAGCATCAAGCTGTTCCCTGAAGGGCCCCACTGCCCCGACATAGAAGTCATGTAAGTGTTAAATAAAAGTCATCAACATGCAAGAGTTTAAATTAGAATTAGAAACCATTTTTACTCCTCAGGACTTATACAAATGGTCAAAAATCCCTCCCAAAGACAGGTACTATACTTATGGTGCATTTCCACTGCAGCAGGTAGCCCCGTTTAAGCGTCCTTAATCGTCCTCAAGCGGCCAGGCCAGTTTTGGTGGCCTTTCCATATAGCCTAGTACCGGCTAGCGGGTACTTTTTCCCTCTTTTTCCGGCCACATAAAATCGTGGTTCTATCAGACCAGGGCCAGGGCTGAACTAGTGACGTCAACACTCTCGACTGCTGATTGGTCAGAGAGAATCATCACAAGATGGCGCGCGAGATCATCCCTAGCGTCGCATATATTAGAAGCAAGCTTGCAGCATTTTTATACACAGCATTTTTGTAAACGGAGGAGCTACAAAAATGGCAACGTCAAAGAAAAGCACACCGTGGTCGACCGAGGAGGTGACGACGTTCCTACATCTCATTGGGGATGATCAAATCCAGCGGGAGCTCGACGGAACAACAAAGCCGATCGCCCCGCCTACACTGCGTTGCTACCCCAGGTCCTAAACTGTAATGGAAATGCGCCACGGCCTCGGACGGCCAGCGAGGCAGCCCGAGGCCTGAGCGATGACGCTTAGGGACGCTTAAACGGGGCTACCCCACTGCAGTGGAAATGTGCCATAAAACACCAAGTCCTCGAGGAATACATTAGAAAAATCCATGCTGATAAAACACTGGCACTGGCACTGAAAACTGTTGGCGTACGGAGAAAAGCTTAATGTGGACCCTTTGGAATTTCCTGGTTTTATGCATGAATTGGTCATTAAATGTGATCTGTCACAATTATAGACAAACACAATGTGCTTAAGCTAATAGCAAACCAACATTTATATTCTTTCATGTATTTATGAAGAACACCCTTTAAACATTCACAGTGCCGGTTTTGGAGCAATAACCTCAGACAAACTCTTAAACCCTCCAGATCCAAGAATAAGTTCTGGACTCGGACTGAACCTCTCTAAAATGCGGATTTTCTTTTTTTACAGCCACTCTGACATTATACTATACTAGAACAATACGATAGCTGTGTGCTATTTAGTAGAAACAGATTGTGTTTGTCTATATAGGTCCAGTGGCGACTGGTCATTAGGGCAGGTGGGGCACAGCCCCACCTAGTGTCAGCAGAAAGTATTAAAAGTAATGATTACAAAAAAATGCAAAAAATAAATTAAAAAATATATAAAATATATTTTAAGATCATGTTTAATCATCTGATTCGTCTGTACATTGCTGTTTTAGTCTGTGTTCTTCTAATTAGTGTCTACAGTGTGTGCCTATTGAGCTGTTTAGAGCCATGTGGGACTAAACCCGATCCTGCCCCTCCCTCTCCCTGTTTAAGTCAATGGTGACTGTAAAAACTACAATGCGCATGCTCAGAGTATTTTCCTATTTAATGTGTGTGGCAACAAAATAATGACCATAGGGGCATAGTGCTGCCATCCCCACCATACATCATCTCACATAATTCAGAGCTGATTGGCTGTAAGTACGTGTGCCGCGAAAAGTGTGGTGTGTGAAGAGGAGGAGAGAGAGCTGCAGTGAGGCGTCCTAAAACCCGGAAATAAACTGCGCATGGCTTCCCTCCACAAAAAAAGCAATGATATTTCTCCATAGGATTTTAGAAAATAGCTCCAAATAAGATCTGTGGGAAACAAACCTGTTAGATAAATGCACGTTTTGTTCAGCCGGATAATATCCACATGTCTACCCTACTTTTATAATTTTCGAATCATAAATCTATTGATTAGATCAGATTTATGATAGACTTTTGAAACTACAAGAACATAAGGAGGACTTTTACAAAAAAGTAATAGAGATTTTTGTCCAGAGGGATAGGCAAATGGACTTCATCTTCATGTCAAGGTAAGACTGCAATTTGATTGAAAATGGGATCTTACTAAGAGAGAACAATTCAATATTTAAATGATACAATTACATTTTTGGGTATCCTTTTGTTGAACTGTCTGTTTAAAATTAATTGAAGCATCAGACAAAAAAAGCTTTTGAAAATAATATTATATTTTGATTTAGGTCAAAATATAATATTTGTAAACCTGAAGAGTCAGAGCCTCACCAGCCATGAACCTCACTGCAGAAGCTTATATATAGACATCTAAGTTTTGTGTGCCCCACCACTTTTGTACATATAAAAACGCCACTGTATAGGTCAGATCACATTTATTGACCAAATCAAGCAAAACAGGAAATTCCAAAGGGTTCACATATTCTTCTTGCCATTGTATATTATACATTGAGTTCAACACATACTGTAGCTCTGACTTTAATGCAGGGGAGATTTCCAATGTCTTGCTCATTTGTATGTGATACAACGAGGATTAGTATCATTGAAGAGCCCTAATAATGTCCAGAAGACACATGAATATATATCTAAGGTAAAACAACTGTAATGGTGTCAGCACATGCCATTTGTATTATGTATTTTCTTTCAAATAACTTCACTTAACTTAGATCCTTCTCAGCAGAAACTCCTGGAGGGGGTCGGCTTATTTTTGGAAACATAATCTCTGTGTCGCTAAAAATCTTTGCTCTGTTTAATACATTATTATTTTTTACAGAGCTGGACTAGCGAGCGGGGAGAAAGTTTGTCTGAACCCGCGGTCCTCCTGGGTGAAGAAGCTCATCCAGTTTGTTCTTGCAAAACAACTTCATCAGAAGGGGGGGTCACTTCCAAATAATCAAGCATAGTATCAAAAGACAAACGGTGAATCATGTGTAATGAATTCCTCTCTGCAGCGATGAGCCATGCTGTTGTACTTTAATCAATCACACTTAACACAGTTTGTATAGCTTATTTATACTGTTAGTGTTTGAATGCTCTTCTAACCAAACAGAGAACAGGAAGTGTCTAAATAGCACTGTGACTGTATGTCTAAGCATTACATTACATTACATTGCATTTAGCTGACGCTTTTATCCAAAGCGACTTACAATAAGTACATTCGACCAGGAAGACACAACCTTGAAGAAAACAGAATCATATAAGTACATCAGGTTTCATAGAGCCAAACATTTCAAGTGCTACTCAACTGGCTTTAGATAAGCCAGTCCTTTATTAGTATATAAGTGCTTCGTTAATAGTTCTATCGCTCGAAGTGGAGTCGAAAGAAGTAATAGGAAGTAGTAAGTATTATAGGAAGTAAGGAAGTGTAAATTGTAAAGAAAATCAAGTGTGAATGAGTGTTAACTATTCTCTTTATAGAACGTTTGGTTGTATGTCGGATGCAGACACTTTGTAGCATATCATGTGTAATATTCAAAACATCATTTTCTTTATTTTGTGAAAATCACTTGCTTTGTTAAACCCCTTTCCCAATGTTGGCACCGTCAGGGTCTATATCCAATTTGAGAAAACAAAATAAATGATAAAAAGTCAAATGTTTCTTGTCTTGCATTTAATCTGAAACACACTTTTTCTCCAGATGTGAATTTTGTGGAGACAATTTTGAACTTTTGCACTCATTTAAAAAGAAACTGACAACGGCCAAGTTGGTTGATTTCCCTGTGTTGTTCGAACAGCTTTTGCAATGTTAATGAAGGTTTAAAGTCTGAAAAGTACAATGTGTAACCGAGCACCTTAATGCATCATTAAGCACTTAGTTTGCCTAGTTTGACATGTTCTCAGGTCTTTTGGTGTTTGCTTTAAAAGAGACGTTTATTCCAGTAAACTTCTCATACTCCTGAAACACTCTGTTTTAAAAAGGACCAGGGGTTGATACCTTCAGGGCCCTCAGGAAACCTCATGGACATTTATAATCAACCTTATCCCACTTTTCCTCTTCATTAGATGCACCCATGTAAAACGGAGGAGGGGATGTAATGAAAGAAGTGACGTCAGTGCATACCTTGGAAACCTAAAAGTACTTGTGGGAGTGTGCAGAGACTTGTGCCTTTCTATATCAATGTTTAAAACTTTTTTTTTTTTTTTTAAATTGAGCGTGTGCAAAAAAGAGAAAACCCATATTTGTAGGATCCCTGATGTCTAACGTTCTAACAGCAGTAGTTTGTCAGTAAAACAGACGGGTCTCCAAAGAGTCATTAAGAGGATTGTAAATGTTTACATGTTAGGAGCTCTTATTAACTGGAAGCCGAACTTGCTTCTAAACAAAGGAGATGGAAATTGATTTTAGAATAGCACAATCCCCCAACCCTACTCTTTTCAATAGGGAGCCTATTCAATGTGTCACTGAGTACAAGTATCTTGGTGTCGTGCTTGACCACAAGCTCAGATGGGATGTTTGGTCTGAGAAAGTAAATGCCAAGTCTCAACAAAGAATGTTCTTTTTACGTTAATGATTGTCTTTTAATGTCAGCAACAGAATGGTTAAGATGTTTTATCATGCTTTTATTGAAAGTGTGCTCTCCTTCGGCATTATATGCTGGTTCGGCAACGCCACTGAGGCACAGAAAAAGTCAGAAAGGAGGGCCATATTGTCCAGTAAATTGACAGGAATCTCATTTTCTAGTCTAGAAAGCTTATACAAGGACTGAGTTTTAAAAATGGCACACAATATTGTGAGTGACCTGGGGCACCCTCTTGCCTCTTATTTTGAACTGTTGCCACCCCGGGCGGAGATATCGTGCCCCTCTGTTAAAAAAGAACAGATCTAGGCTGTTTTTCGTCCCACAAGCCATCAAACTCCTTAACCAATGATGGCTAGCCTAGGACGCACTGTTTACCCCTCGCAAATGAGGGCCTAGGCCCCTTGTCATGTCTGCCGATATCTGTTTTTTTTATGTCTGTTCTTTTTAATCTGTGTCTATGTTGATGTCAGTGACGTATGTTTTATGTTTTTTGAATCAACACGACAATGCTGGCGTCAATGGAGGTTACTTTTCAAACTCCCAAACCTTTGCAACTAGTTTGAAATACAAGCCAAAACACTGCCAGAGAACAAAAGGTTAATCTGAGGTGGTTGTGCTAAAGAGATGCTCCATATCCGTGCATCCTTAAATAACCTTGTGAAGTCGGATTCAATTTCATCTTAAAGGGGCCCTATTGTGCTTTTTGGGTTTTCCGTTTCCTGCAGTGGTCTGCAAAGGCTACAAATCCCTGTGTTCCCTCCAGAGGGAGATTCTGTCTTCAACATACTTTGACCACTCTGTCTCTATTTGTGAACATTTTACAATACAATCAGAACTTGAAAGCACTTCCATATTACATGACATGTTACTTGTTAGACGCTTTTATCCAAAGCGACATACATACTCAATACTGTGGACAATCCCCACAGGAGCATTTGGGGTGAAGTGTCTTGCCCGTGGCAGTGGGTTTTGAACCTGATCCCCTGATACGAACACCAACGCACTAACCCACTGCGCCACACTCCTCCCATATAAAACAGTCAAGATGTTTTCTGGCAACATTGCTTTGAAAAAACAAAACAGCTGTGTGAGATTAGTGTTTAATCTTAAGCAAATAAAAAAACATGTAATTGATTTCAAACATAAAACAAAGACACGTTTAATACTCCAGCTCTCCATGAACTCACCCCCTTTTTATTCGCTGGAAATCAGATAATTCAATCAAAGGAGTGAATAGGGAGTGTAACTATTTACCAGAGAAAGAGGCAATTAACAGAGAGTAATCCAGTGTTATCATTCAGGAAAAACAGTCAGAAAAAAAGATCGAGATCTTTTCTGGGAAGCTAAAAAGTCGATGAAAGTTCAAGCTGCTTACGGTAAAACACACAAAAAGTATAAATAAGGAATAACAATAGACAAACATCTTACAATATACAATCTTTCAAGTACAATCGCCAAACCTAAAGCTGACACAAAGTGCCTCTTAAATCATTTAACAGTTCTGAAGTTGCTTAAGGCTAAACACTTTCAAAGTGTTACTTCGCTTTTTTCGGTAGCAAGGTCATCCAGACAGGGCTGCCCCTTGAGTCCAGGGCTCTTCGCCCTCTCGCTCGAGCCACTGCAAACATTCCTGTGGTAGAACATTTAAAATATCTTGGTGTTGAAATATTCCCAAACCTTAACAAGACTATATAGAATAATTATACAGACACGTACAACAAGGTTCTCCAGGACCTCAATAGGTAGTCGAGCCAGCCCAACTCACTACAAGCCAGAGCTTCAATAATTAAAATGAATATACTGCCTAGAGTTCATTTTATCAGTTCAATGCTTCCTCTATCGCCCCCCAATGGTCATTGGCAGAAACTACAGTCGGCAATTTCAAAATGTATTTGGAACAACAAGCGGCCTAGACTCACATTTAAAATTATATTTCTGGTCCTTTTCATTAAGACCTTTGATTAATTGGTTTGACCCCAAAGCTGTGGTTTCATGGCGTGCTTTAGAATAGAAGTTACGGAGCGTCCACACAGCAGCGTGCGTTGACGCTTGGAGGTGGGCGTATCTGAAGCTTGGGGATTTTTTGCGACCAACGCGAAACAACAACCAATCACATGAATCTCCTGCCCCCGACATACAAAGCAATAGCAATGTTAAAACGAAGTAAACTGGATATAAAATCCCCAAACAGGCGAAAACCTCCCTCCATGCCTCGCTCCTCCGGTTTGTATCCCGGTAGATCAACAGAGACTGATCATACAGCACCGGGTGATTCACTACCGCTATAATGAATTTTCCCTCCATTTTTTTGAATATGAGGAAATGACCTGCGTAGTCTCTCCCAGCATACACGCGGTTTGATTGGCTAGCGATTGTACTGGCAGATTTGCATAAACGGGATTTCATTGGCTGACGGCCCGTACACACAGCAGCTTTTGGCGATTTGTCCACCGCTTCCAGCGCGTCTCCGCCCATTGACTTTGAATGGGGATGACGTGACTTTCCCTCGCTTGTCGCCGAACTGCATTGTGGGGGGGCGAGGCGAAGATTTCCAGGATTTCCAGGATGTCATTCGCGGGCCATGCCCCCCCAAATGAGTCACTGTGCCCCCCCAAACCTTGCCACTTTTTTTTTTCTTGTTTGAATCATATAAGTGAAAACGTTTCCACTAAAGGTTTTTTGTGTGAAATACATCAGAAATAAAGAATACAAATAAAACACAGCCTGAGGTGTGCTCACTGCTGCTCTCTGATTGGTGTGTTGCTTGACCAATGGCCCCCGACCTTTGTTTTGTTATCATTACGTGACTGTGTGTTTAGATGAAAGCCAGTGGCGATTTGTTCATCTGTTACACTGATTATACAGTAAAGCCATCGAAAATAATATGATATACAGTACAAGTCCTACTTCTGGGTCTCTGTGTTTCATTCAAGCTCGGCTCTGTGTGTGTGGCACGATCGCATTTTGTGAGTGCATGAGCGGTAACGTGGAATGTTGTTGTTAGCATCTGGTTAGCTAGCTATGCTAACGGATATAAAGAGCTGTTTCTACACCAAGGTGGAGGAGAGTCCTCTCCTGTCAGACTGAGAGGATCGTATAACCTCAGCTCAGTGAGGTAAGGACTCTCAGTGTTTAGATAGTTAACTTTAGTGTAAGTTATCTCAGTGGGTCTCAAACGGTTTGGTCAACATTTATGTAAACAAGTATTTGCGAGGAACACATTTATATGATCATTAGCCTATAGTTATTAAAAAAACAAGAGAATAAATGAAAAACGGGTATGAAATAGGCTACTATAGGACAGTAACACAAGAATACAGTTTAAAAGGGGAGTGATTAGTAAAATATCCATAAAGAAAAAGTAAATCTGTGTACAGTTGTGTTTCATATGGATGCTGAGAGATGTAGGCTATCCATAGATCTCTTCATTTTGCTCTCAAAGTGCACCAGATTGATGCATTTAACTTCAATATTTTTAAAATAATCTTCCCGGGGGAGCATGCCCCCAGACCCTCCTAGAGGACGTTAGGTCCACCCCCACTTAAAACATGTTCACATGGATAGGATACTAAACACATTTGCACACTTTTTATATGGTGGCCTATGTCCATGTTTCTGTTTTGGTGATCGTGCCACAACTGTGCATGTATGCACAGGTCATAGGTGCGCTAGAAAATAGCACTACACCCTGCAATGTGTGTGAAAGACAATAGACTTTACAGCATGTTTTTTGAAATTGAAGTTGTGTTTGTGTGTTGGTTGTTGACGGCAGTGTGTGCCCCCCCCCCCCCCCCCCCCCCCTTGGTAAATGATTGCCCCCCCCATTCGATTTGTTCTAGAGCCGACCCTGGATATAGTTGTTTGCAGTCATTGGTCCTGAGAGGTCCTGGGATTGGGGGTGGGAGGGTTTATTTTTGATTTTTTTATCCTTAGTTTTGTCCTCTCGTCTGATTGTTGTTATTGTTTGTTTTTTCTGTATATTTTGTAATTTGTGTTGTATTGGTTGTGATTGTACATTGTATTTTTCTAAATGTGTATGAATAAAAACATTTGATCAAAAATATGGACTGTGT